TTTGACGAATGCTATACTTTGTCAAAAAGATGAATTGCATAAAACTTTACAATTTTTGGTGGATTGGTCAAATGAGTCTAGGGAATCTTTGACGCCTAGTTCTTTATTTGAAAAGGTTGAAAAATTATTTTCTAAAGAATCTTCATATAGTAAGGTGACGGATGATTTATTACAAATAGTGTGCGGTAGAAGAGCTGATTTTATAAATATACGTCGCGAGGCTATGTTACGCCAGATATCTGAAGGCTTTCATCGTGATGTTTTACATAAAATTCCTCCTAGTACCGAATCGCTTTTTAATGATGAAGCCGTTCAATCATACCTTCAAAAAATAGGCGGGCCGGATAAATTAACTACATCAACAAAATCAGTTCCCCAGACTTATTCAAAGGATAACTTTTATCAAAACCAGAAGCCATCTACTAGTAAGCAAGTTGATAATAGATTTTTTCGTCGAGATACCTTCACAAGAAGTCAAAAACATTCCCCTCAGGCGTCTCGTCAAAACAAAAACAAGACAAACAATCCCAGGGTTAAACCTAGAGGAAAGAAATCGCAGGCTTCTTTTAAAAACAAGCATCGCGAATGACTATCAGATATTTCAAGGCGGCTGTCTGAAACGATTTCTATGTGCTTGGAGCAATCTGGGTGCGCCAGACAAAATATGCCGCCTGTTGAATGGTGCACGTATACCCTTCATCCTCAAACCACCACTAATAATTCCGAGCCCCACAGTCATGAAATTATACAGAACCAAGACTTCGCCCAATATGACCATACAGATTCAAACCATGTTGAAGTCCGGCGTGCTAGAACCTGCAGAACTGACACCGAGTTACCTTTCCACGTTCTTCCTGGTGGCCAAGTCGGATCAGACCTTTCGTCCTATCTTCAATCTGAGACAACTAAATCAGTTCGTAGTAGTCAAACCATTTCAACTATTCAGCCACTTCCGAGTACCATCGTTTTTACAACCACAAGATTGGATGGCCAAGCTAGATCTGAGTCAAGCTTATTTCCACGTAGCGATCGCACGACAACATCGCAGGTTCTTGAGACTGAATTATCACCAAGACACACATCAGCATCAACTGCTTCAAATGACTTGTTTACCGTTCGGTCTCTCATCGGCACCCAGAACTTTTGCCTCGATAACCAATTGGGTCGCAGAATTTCTGAGGAGTCACAAGATCCGGTGCGTAGTTTACTTGGACGATTTTCTCCTAGCAAATCGGTCAAAGGTGCAGTTACAAGACGACGTCGCATTCACGATAAACATACTGCATTTACTAGGTTGGACGATCAACTTCGAAAAATCTGTTCTGGTTCCGACACAATGCCTCGAGTTTCTTGGCATAACATGGGACACAAAACGCAACGCAAAGTCCTTGTCGGAACCGAAGTGCTTAACGCTACGCAAAGCACTTCATCAACAGCTTCGAAAAAGCAAGTGGTCCCTCAAACAGTATCAAAGTCTAATGGGGAGACTCAACTTTGCAACATTCGTAACACCGAGAGGTCGCCTGCACTGTCGTACTCTGCAATACTACAGCCGACAGCTGCCGGCGAAACACCCATACCGGCTCATGACCATTCCTCAACCTGCTCGGTCGGAGATGGAGTGGTGGTGCCAAGCTATAGGAAAGTCTATGCCGATACACGTAAGCGCAGTGACACACCTACTGACAACAGACGCATCAGACATCGGTTGGGGTGCCCAGCTCGGCGACATAAATATTATGGGGACCTGGGCAGATTCGCAGCGGGCCTGGCATGCCAACAAGAAAGAAATGTTCGCCGTTTATGCTGCTATACGCCAGAATCAACATCAACTCCAGAATGCACAGGTACTATTGCAAACCGACAATCGGACAGTAGTCTCATATATAAACAAGGAGGGTGGCACCAAATCCAAGAAGCTTCTTCAACAGACTCGACAACTTCTGGCAATTCTAGACAAGCGGAATATTCATCTGACAGCGCATTATTTCCCGGGCAGATTCAATGCCGAAGTAGATGCTCTGTCTCGGCAGAGAACTTGTCCAGAATGGCATCTCACGAGGTCAGCGACCAAGAAAATCTTTCTAATGTGGGGCACGCCAGAGATAGACCTATTCGCATCGAAGACAGCTCACGTAGTACCAAGGTATGCATCGTTGGACGTAGACGATCAGGAAGCACAAAACCACAACGCGTTTTGTCATCAGTGGCACTACGACCTAGCTTGGTTGTTTCCGCCCCCAAATCTGATACCCAGAGTTCTCAGACACTTGAACCACGCCAGCGGGGACTACATATTGATTGCCCCGAGGTGGAACAAGGTATTTTGGCAAGCAGACGTTCAACAGCGAGCTCGACATCCCCCGTATCTAATTCCAGATCTGGCACACGCTCTTATAGATACCAGAACTGGGACGCATCCGCCACGAGTGCAAGACCTACACTTGGAGGCATGGCTGATTTCGGGTGGCCAGATATGTTGACAGAATGGACAGATCAAGAACAACAACTTCTCATGTCAAGCTGGAGATGCTCTACGATCAATACATACAAACCCGCGTGGCGCAGATGGAGGCAATGGTGTGAGTCTCATTCAATTGATTATAAATATCCTACCCCGGATCAAGTTGCTCGGTTTCTAGCACATTTACACTGTGATATAGGTCTTGCATACAGAACTATTTTGGTGCATAAATCTGTTATTTCAACCTTCACACATTTAACAGGTAATATTGACTTGTCGAATAATTTCTTTATAAAACATGTATTAAGAGCTATTTCTGTAGCACGAGAGAAGCCGGCTAAGCCACCTATTTGGAATCCTAAAGTGTTATTGCAATACATGAGCTCTTATAATTTTAATGAAAATAATCTCTACCAAGTATCAAGGCATGTTGCTACTCTTTTACTGTTAGCATCAGGCCGCAGGGTTCACGACCTTACATTGTTGCGAGTTGATAGCACTAGTTTAGTTGATCAAGGAACCTCTATTGTGCTTTGGCCTGTATTTGGTTCAAAGACAGATAGCCATAACCATAGACAGTCTGGATGGAGGCTTAGAGAGCACCCTGATAAAAAATTAAATCTCATTTATTGGTTAAGACAATTGTTACATATAACTGTTGACCGTCGAAAAAATTTAAATCACTTGTTTATTACAGCTAGAGGTGATATAAAGCCTGCATCTAGAACTGTTATTGGTGGATGGGTGAGGTCTCTCTTAAAGGATAGTGGTATTAATGCAACACCGGGCTCAGTAAGATCTGCAGTGGCTTCTCTCAATTTTGTAGAAAACTTTCCAATTGATCAAATTCTAGCAACTAGTAACTGGAAAATGATTCATACTTTTCAAAACTATTATCAAAGAGAATTAATAACTTACAATGATTCTAATTTTGTGAATAATTCTGTATCATTATCTAATTATTTTGATGCTGTGAAATGAGAATATTAGTATAACATTATATATGTTTCTTCTTTTATATGAAGTGGTGTTTTGTAAGTATATGAAATATTTTATACTTGTTTAATTCTTCTAATACATGTACATCAAAACATAGCGTTTTATTAACCCAATATTTAATTATCATACACATTATAGCGTCTTTGGGTTCAGCGCACCAGGTGATAACAAACACATCACTCAAGATGGATTCCGGATATTGATACAAAACAAATAATAGAGAGTTTTACCATCAAATAAAACTTACCTATTATTTTTTCATCAATATCCGGAATCCAGGTAAGGTCTACCTGGTGCATCATGAGTTCTATAATGGTTAAATCATACGGTCACCCGGTGCGCGCTGCCGGTTATTGGCGCCAAAATGCAAGTATAGGCGGCGCTACCAGCGGAGAGGAAGTAGAAAAACATTGACAACAGGCAGAAAGATAGGTGCTTGACTCAAGATGGATTCCGGATATTGATGAAAAAATAATAGGTAAGTTTTATTTGATGGTAAAACTCTCTATTGTCAGTTCCCAATTCATATGGTACTGACAAGTGTCACCCGCAAAATCTATACCTACCTTTAATAAAATTCTAACGGAGTTGAAACTATACATTAAATATTTTTCGGACCTTATTGAAATAATCATTATTATTGATACAGAGGCCGAATATGAACTTTTTAGAATTTTTGTCTGTCTGTCTGTATGGGAATGCATTACGAGAAAACCACTGCATCAACAACTACGACAACATATGGGATACTTTTTACAGCGGGAAAATATCTCATACCTGAGAAATTAATATTATAAACGTTAAAACGTAACTTGAATCGGTAGGAATAAAATACTAGGTACAGTTTGGCAGGTTTTTAGTTGCAGCACGAAAATTAAACATATTGGAATATAAAATATATATATTACACCTACGATAAAAATAAAAGAATGTATAATCAGAATGTTAATGATTTTATTGCCGTTTTGAGGTTTTCTTACTAAGTACTTATTGGGTTTTCCGCTAACCGACACGCACTGACTCTGACGACAGCCTAGCAGCAGAGAAAGCAAGAATGTACAAAAATTTAATTTTTATTTGCTGCCTGTCTGCTGGCTGATGTTATCGCCGATGCCGTTGCTGAGCCAGCTTTTTGTTAAAACTTATATTAATACTGTAAATATATAAAAGAATTGCAGACTATAAAATATATATAAGTAACGATTGGTACTAAATATTCACTTTATGAATTCGTAGAAGCTTTTTTGTCGGTTTTAAGATGTTATCAAGTTTATATAGTATTTTAGGACCTGCATCCACAAAGCTCAATAAACCGACAATATTACGAACATATATTATTTTACAGAAAATTTCTATCATAATATATGAGTAGTACCTGTAGATCCCATATTTTGCAAGTCTGAAGAATTATTTTTCTTATTACTGTTCTTTTAAGCTCTTTTTTTTGTGATTTATTTGCTAAAATTATAGTAGCCTCTGGTGTAAAATATCTCTTTGATGAAAATGCAACGTATGTTCGATTGATTTTTATATTTCATGCTTTTCTAGAGATCGATGTTGAAGCTTTGTTTAAATCATCTCTCATCTCTGACGTGGCAATGTTTGCTAACACAGTAGCATTTATAGTTGGATGCATAATTTTAGCTTTCTTCACTTTCTTCTTTGCTTTTATTGTCTTTTTTTTACATAATCTTAATTCTACTGTTTGCAGTGGGGGCTCTTTGCCTTCGGCTACCATCTGAAATGATAAAGGAAAGTGTATGGAATTTACTATTTCTCAGTAATTTATAATCAATCAATAATTATATGAATAATTAAAAAATACTTAATTAACCTGCTCATAAAATTTATCATCCGCATCTTGACGATCGCAGAAATCTAATAGTTTGTTACAGACGGTTCGAAGATTTTTTATCCTTTGCTTCTTCTTTTTTCCAACTAAACAGCGATCCATTTCATCTAAACGTAGAGTCCTAAGTTACATAAAATAATTTAAGATAAAATAATTGATGTTGTTATTATTATTAATAAAGAAATACAAATTAAAAAAAACGTAAGTATGTATTAAGTATAACATGTGTAACTCGATGTGACCTCTAAATAAAATATGTATAGTAAGCTTTAACCACTTATCCTATGAGCTTTTTATAGATATGATGTACACTAAAGCTTAGAAAATACTTTGTGAAATATATTTTTTCTTTTTTGAATTAGGAGGTAGGTGTTTTAAATATACGTAATATATATAAATAAATAAATAATAAATATACATAATATATTGTCTAAATTTTCTCTCTAGCGTAAACTTTCTATAAGTATGGGTTTTATGAGTCAGATGCTATATTTATACTTTTATGTACGTACGTACCTATGTGGAGAATATAATGATATGTTAACTTAGTGTATTTTTTTTAAATATTGTGAAGCATACGCACTTAATCACTTTAGGTTTACTGAAAATATCCTCTTTTTCATCTACATGCATAGAAGTATCCCAAATATTTTTAAAAAGTTTTCTTCGATCTGCATAGCTTTCTTCCTTTGACATTAAGTGATCCATATTTAATAATTACTTCGACATACATCTCTGTGATTCATTTTGAACTTTAAAATGGATGTTTTTATATTTCATATGAAAAGATACTGTTTTACTTCATTTTTTAGGTTTTACTTTAGGATTTTGTTGTGTTTTTTATGGTAATCATGTCATGAATCATGATTGACAATTTTATTTTTTTTAAATCTATACATATAATAAAATTGTAACTAAGCCGAATCTGTACATTATATTTTTTTTTGGAAAATCTTATTGAAATAAACATTATTATCGATACAGAGGCCGAATCTATATTTTTTAGAATTTTTGTCTGTCTGTCTGTCTGTTACCGCATCACAGAAAAACCACAGGAGGGATTTTAATGAAATTTGGTATGGTGATAGCTGGTTGTCCAGGTCAACATATAAGATACTTTTCCCAACATGAAAATGTCTAATTTCTGAGAAAAAAATACTAAAATTTCAATGTAAGAGTATACTAATAATTATGTAAAACCTAAGAATTTGGTTTTTGGTCATCTGAACGCGGGCGGATTATAAATTTTGTTAGATAATTCAAACAGTTATGTATGGCAGTTTAAATATCCAGCTTTTATAATCCTAAGCAACAATATTTTATTTTGAATATAATAGCGACTATGCAACAGGTTGAGTTTCGAAAGAATTGCTTACAAGTCTCGATCTGTCTTCAGTAGGCGGGCGGCGTTCAAACAAATAACGCACTTTATTTCGGAATCCTCCTTGATATGCTTTTCTCGTAAAAGTTTATCAAGAAAATGTACAAACACTTTATATTTGTTTATGAACACTTAAGAATAATAACAATAAATTACGATTGGTCTGGTTTACATATCCACTTTAGAACTAATGTGTGAGTTCGTGTTAGTAAAATGTTAAGTGGATATGACCCTAATGCATTGTGGGTGGCACTCAGCGAATGTAGCGACGGAAATCTCTTTAACGTTTACCCAAAGCTGTTGGCCGAACTTCTCATACAAGAAGATGCGGCAAGACTGGAAGGCGATACTAGTGAAGCGGAAAAGCTGGTCCTGCCGAGTGATAAAGAGTGGAGACTCACTCAGTATTTCCATCTTGTCGCAATGCAAAAGACTTTGGATGTCGATCAGCAAGTATTTTGTACAAACTTATAGGACGAAAAAATATAAGTACACTATACTTAAAAGTATATTTTATCAAAATAAAAAAACACTTCATTAAGACACTCTATTTCTAACAACATTTAAAAAAAGTTTTATCAAAATATATAAATTTATATTTTCATTGATATTAAACAACACATATACACTAGGGTCTAGGTATACAGTATACAGTGATGTACAAAAGATAGAAATATTAAAACAACTCACGCAAACTCATATTAAAGCGCCTGAAGTTACACAGAATATATATAAATCGTGGAATGATATGAACAAAAGCCATTGAGCTAAGTTAATTTTAGTTGGTAAGTTAATTACCTACATGGTGACCGTGAACTTTTGCCATAAATAGCTCCCAAGTGTGTTTTGCTATAATTCTGCTAATAAAGGTACTGGTAATTTTTTATTTCATGTGATAATTTTATTCAAAATACTTAGTTGTGATAAATGTTTATTACAAAATATTTATTATGTTGTCACGTTGTGAGTAAATTATGCCTTCGATTCTTGTAAGAGAGGAAAAATTAAGATAAATACATTAAATAAAACAACCATTGTCAAGAACCAAAAATCATAATAAATCCGCGAAAAATTCTGAAAAGATAATTTTATTTAAAATGTCAAATATTCGCGTAAATCTAAGAAACTTAGTAGTAATTTTATACCGGGTAGGTTACTTGACTTACTATAGTATTCTTCGAAAAACACCGGTCCGTTGCTGCACGAGACGTGAACAAACCAACAAACACATTCATATTTATAATATGGGTTAAAAAACCTTATTAAAAAAACTGTTATTAAAGATTTGTAAAATAAAGATTTTGGTTAAAAATTAACTTTATTATTAAGATTTTACCATTGCATAATTCAAAATTCCATTCCTTTGTTCTAATAAACCTTCATTCGTTACGTTAGCAGTAATAAATATTACTTTTATAACTGTTAGCTATTTAAATTGTACTATAATAATATCTAGCTTGCGTGCCTCATATCAGTATGGTTACATACAATAAGTTAGGTGATTGCGTGAACCAATTTCACGAGGCAAGAAAGTGTTATAGAGTTGATGTTGGAGGCCGTTGGGTAATTGAAAGTTAAACGTTTTTGAATTAATTTCTCAGTAATAGAGATGCATGTTCTAAATTCAAATGAACTATATATATATATATATATATATATATATATATATATATATATATATATATAAAAGAAAGTCGTGTTAGTTACACTATTTATAACTCCAGAACGGCTGAACCGATTTGGCTGAAAATTGGCGGGGAGGTAGCTTAGAACCCAGAGACGGACATAGGATTTATCCCATTCGACTGCGTTCCCGTGTGATATTGTTTGTCTGTTTGTACGGGCTAATCTCCGAATCTATTGGACCGATTTAAATGAAATTTTGCATGGTGGTACCTTATATCCCCGGACAACGTCTTAGATATTTTTTATCCCGGAAAATATAATGGTTCTTGTGGGATAGTTAAAAAACTATTATAACTTATACAACTTATGCACCTAATTTAGTAAAATTTAACATTCTGATACCTTATATTGCCGGTCAAACAACCGGTTACTTTTCATCCGGGAAAAATGAACGGTTCCCGTGGGAACTAATAGATTTTTATTAGTGTTTTTTAGAGGTGAACCCGAGCGAAGCGAGGGTGAGCCGCTAGTTATTAATAAATGCAGACAAGAGGCTAAGGAATGTTCATGAAATGTACTTAGTTATCTAGCCAATCAAACAATCAATGTCTTATAATACGATGGTCTTGTGGCATATACTTACTAAGGTTCTTAGAGTGCTGGAGATCACATATTTGATCTCTAAGTTAATAGGAAAAAACTTCATCGCACTAATAGGTACCTATCTATTATCTGTAGGCGTTTTCTTAAAAACTAATAAGAATATGTTAATAATAACTATAAAGAATAGTTTTTAGAAACCAAGGGTTTATGCCAACTGACCTGCGATCACCCAAATCTTGAAGAAACAAATTAAATGTTCATAATATTTAAAAAGCTATACTTACGTAAAATCACAGATTTAAATATCAATACGTAATACAACATATAAATATCAGTAACATATAAATATCAGTGCGTAAAACAGTAATGAAAATATTTACTATGGAGACCACTTAATTTATACGCAATTTCATTTAACTAAGCCTGTACTACACTACAATTTTTAACTATAAACTTACGTCTTCAATCAAAATTATTTCTTGCATTATCTTTGGCACCTTTAAAGTGTTACATGCGAAAGGTTTCTCAGAATTTGGAAAATTAAGATTAAAGAAGTTTTACCTACATTCTAGATTTATAGGCTACTTTTTATCTATCTATACCACGAGTTATTTAATAATTATAATTTTATGTCAAAATTTATGAAAAAAATTGGAATGTAATTTAAACGTACCTATTGTCCAATTTTAAGTTTTGATTTCAATAAAATATACCTAACATTACACTTATCTACTTATAATAATATTTTTTTCCCAAACAATAGATAATAATTCTAATATAACAGGCTGATTTGGCTTTTTTTTAAATAGTTACCTACCTATCTGTCAATTGGTTTTCAAATTATACAAAAAACGAAAGTCGAAGTTTCTTTAATACAATCATAGAGTATATTGCTACATATATAAAATACAATAAATAAATTATACATACATTGAGAAAGTATTTTACCTGCTAAAATGAAATTATTTAAATCTTATTAATAAATACTTTTTACATTGTTTAAATAATGGCCTCTTATACTTTTTATGGATAAAAGAAATGATTGATGGACCTCACAGGATAATCAAGTAAATATTATTTTTAAGTTTGACGATTCTTTATTTTCGACACCAGATGATTTTATCGCTTAATAGTTGATAATAAACTGACGCTGATAACAACACCAATATTTGTATAAATTACTATTATAGTAGTATAACTTATACATTTATTAAAATAAATCATTAGGACTTAGCGAAATTACCCTCGCTGTGCACAGGTGTATTTGGAATATTATATTTTACAGGTAACGCCACCTTCTGGTAAATTTTCGTACTAACAGTAGCCTGAATGCTACTACACGTCCTAATCTATCCATCCATGCCTGTACGTTACAGGTTATATGCGTAAATGCATTTTCCAACGTTAAAAAGAAAAGGTCTATCTATCGTCGTACTAAATTCAAACCAAATCTGTCCAACCGTTTTAGCGTAAAACTCTAGTATAGTATTATATGATCTGTGGTAAAATGTAAGGGAATCATAAACATAGACATACACATACAAACTTTCGCATTGATAATAATTACCATTATAATGGTAATGTGATAAAAATACAAAACATATTTGTGAATCTACATACATTCTTGTAAACTTTATAACTTTCTGTTTGCTCTTAGAGAAGAAGATGTTAAAAAAGAAAACAACATCATCGTGGAGATTGCCGAAGAATGGGCACCTTGGAGTTTGGTTGTGTCAACTAAGAACCCGAATGCTCCCCCACCGGTCTCTGTCAAAACTACCACAGGTCCGGCTTGGGATATCGGGCAGGTAGAAGTATTTTTTTTAATTTGCATTTATATTTATTTTGAACCAAATTGAGCCATTTAAAAGTATGGCAATTCTAGATTTTTTATGCCTTTAACATATGTAGCTACCTTATATTATCTTGAATTCGTCTTTTATATTTACTAAAAGTTATTTAATTAGTCAAAAATATTTAGATGATATTTGTTTTCTATTATAAGGTCCTAAAAGCAGCTCGTCTCCTGTGCAAGCCCCCATTAGATGTAGACTTCGAAGATGAACAGGAAATGCGTTGTGTTTATTCTCTCATCTACGACGTTTTCAGATGTAAGTTATAATTTATTAATTGAATAGGAAAGAATGGTATTTATTCAACAAATAAAATATTCATAGGCAGTTTTCTGAACTACTACAAAATACAAACAAAAAAATAATAATATGACTTACTAAAACACAGGGTAGCTATAAATATAAATCATAAAAAATTTAGTATTCAGCCATAAAGTGACGATGTTTTTACTGTCGCGTTGTTTGAATATCGTTCGTGACTTTTTTGTCGTAAATCACTGAACACGATGATCGTAAAGCTCTGAAAGCCCTCCTCCTGATAAAGTGGCTTGAAATGTGAGTTCCGGATAGCGAACATTTCCAAGTGAGTGTCATGATAGTAAAGCCGCGCGTGAACCGTAACTGCTGCAAATTACCTCACGCGAAGTTTGAAACTAGTTTACGAGGCTTCGTAAGCTTTATTTAACTTTTATCACAAACGCCTTTTGCGATCATGTCGCGATAAGACTAGCGTGTATTATAACTGAACCTATTTGAATGTTATTAGTTCTGTTTAATTGTAATTCCATAAGGAACAATATTGTTTATTCATTCCAGCTTGAACTCGTAAATTGAAGAATGTCAAGTTATGAAAACCTAGATGGTTTTCAATATTGAACATTAATAACGTGGAAATACTATTTCCTCGGGAAGTACTGAAAAATCCCGTTTTTTAGTGTAACAGAATGCCTGAAAAATAACACTTCACCAATAACACTTCACTATAATCAATCTCTATGCACAACGTCAATCTGTTATTTCATTGCTGCGGCAAAGGATGATGAAGCCAACAAACCAACAAAACACTTTAAATTCATTTTACTAATTTCTTTCTCCATTCGCGATTGCTTTTGTATAAATTCATTTACTGATATCTTATTGCAAGAAATAAAGGCCTGGTACCTACACTATCTTTAACAGATTGTAGACAAAAGAAGGGGTTATTTTTTGAATCATATATTTAAAAAAATATCCTATTATGATAAAACTTTATATTTAATTCGAATAAGTTTTATACTTAGAAATACTGAATATCTAAAAACTTTATTTCAGACAAATCAGTATTGGACCAAGCTATTGAAGATATTGACTTTTTCGGTGACTTTCCACAGGTAATTTACATTTATGACGTTTTTAAAGCATGCACTTAACATTAAAAACCAATCTCCTTCGTGTCTTCTCCATTCTACGTTTATTACATATCACATTACCGTGGTAATACCATGGGGCGATACCGATACAGCTAGATACAGGTAAAGTGTAGGACAAAAGGCGACACACAGCTGTCAAGTCTTCCAGACACTTCCTTGACGTGTATCACAACCTACATCCCATTTCCAAGCTGCTAGTTGTTTAAGTTATTTACTAGGCAAAACATCGCAATACTAGCAAGGTCTACACAGTATACAAGGCATTGTCAATAATAATACCCTTTAATAATGCTTTTGAAAATAGATAATACTAGCAGAACCAGTTCTTGCTAAAACTACGAAGAAATCTCTAAAAATGTAGTTTCATACGAACTTTGATCCTCTATTTTATCCTCTTATAGGATGAATTTTGAACAATGCTAAGACACGTATTTATTTTAATTTTATTCAAGAGTTTATATACCAAGTTTCAAGTAATTCTAATAATAAATATTTTTTACATTGTATTATAACGTGTTTCCCCGTGGGAATTAAGTAATCTCCCACGATAAAAAGTAGCCTATGTCACTCTCCAGCTCTCCTACTATATCCACACAAAAAATCACGCCCATCCGTTACTCCGTTTCGGCGTGAAAGAAGGACAAGCAAACAAAAACATTTTCACATTTATAATATTAGTATGGAAGTAGTTCTATGTGGTAGAGTACACATAGATGGATAATTCGCGCGATGTAAGGAGTAGGTAGTAATTTAAGTTTCAAGTTGTAATGTAAAATAATAGCTCGCTTCATTGTTTCAGTAGGCCAATCTCATCTGCTTCGTGCTGCATTTTGTAGCCAATACGAATAGGAATGCTAAACTAGAAATCAAAGCATTTACGATAATGACTGATGATTGCAAACGTTTATTAACTCTACAAATTTCGATAATGTCACCGTCCTCATTCTAAATGTTATATTTAATGTTATGCGTGCAAGGCATAAAGCAGTACCTAACTATGTGTAATGTTGTTTTAATAGGAATTAGGAAAAAAGCTAGATATAGATTGTCTCGTTAACTCTTCAAGAATAAATAAATAAATAAATAAAAATAAAATGTTGGGACATTAACACACAGCGCCATCTAGCTCCATGGTAAGCTACGAGGCTTGTGTTATGGATACCAGATAGTTGATACACTACACATATATAACTTTTAAATACATACATATTATAAATATAAACAACCATGACTGGAGTACAAACATTCGAGCTCATCACACAAATGAATGCCCCCAGCGGAACTCGAACCCGCGACCGCTGGCACAGCAACTAGGGTCACTACAAACTGAGCCAAAAGAATAACGTGAACATCGTATTTATAACTTCTGCGTATACCTACGAGTTTGTTTGACCCAATGACCTCAAAATCCATGTATTGGAAATTCTTTTACATTGTATAGCACTCTTGACCTTGTGTATATTTTTTATCGAGGGTTATTTATTGAGTTTGTTATCTTCCAAGGTCACGATTCACAATGAAATGTCATTACCGAAAGGCAATAACATTTGCGAAAGCAGATTCGACAAGATGTAACGACAAAAAGTATAACCCATCTAACTCATAGTATGGCATTCTCGTGACCAAAACCATTTCTTTTTCTTTGAGGACGCTCACGTAAACGAGCTTTGTATTTATGAGGGCTTATTTTTGCAAAAAAATTGGCATTGGTAGCTTTCAAAAATGAGTTCAATAAATAATAACACGATGCTGCGTGTTAAACGACATCGAAGTTTCGATGTGATCGCTTGGATAAAGCACCTCACGTGCCACGACAATTAATACGTAAATAGATATTAATCATATACCATTATAGTATTCTGTAAGGAAATTTTGATTTGTAAAGTTCTCCGCTATCATTAGGTACCTTAAAAACACAGCAGCGTAAAGATCTTGTTTTTGTATTTTTAGTTTGTTTTATAGGTACGCGGTCGGGATTTTTTATTTTTATAGGTAATTATTTTTATTTACAACTTTTTAGTTTTGGCCGGTTAGGCATTTGGAGTTTTATTTAACAATTTACTGTCGCAATTTTTGTGAGCGGCTTTTATAATTCTTTATAATAATTTCCCACTCAATAGGTTTTGAAGAAAAAAAATTCAAGGCACACAAAACGGCGCTTGAAATCAGCCATTTTGATTTTTAATAATATCCATATAGCCTCTAAGACTCGCGTTACCCATACTAATCTATCGACGTATGAATCATTAATATCGTTTAAGCAGTTTACCAAATAGTTACGAGGGAGCATAGGAACGGACATACATATACATATATCAATTATCAGGTCAATCACATATCCCTCTGCTTCGTTCGGGCTTTGCCACAGTCGCGTAAAAAGCCTTTATAATATTTTCTTTCTTCGTAATATAAATATCTACAGTTAATAGAGCATCGTCACACAACATGGCTATTTCTAATGGAGCTTGCTCGTCGTCGCTGGATGGCGCGAGCTCGAAACGAGGTGGAACGAGCAACGCGGCTGTTGAATGAAGCTGGTCACCCCTTCAAAGACGTGGAAAATATAATTTGGGAACAGAGAATTCACTTTGCCGCTGCTATTGCTAGGATACGCATCAAAAATAAAGCGTTCACGTAAATATCAGCTCCTTTTAAAGTGAAAAAATTACTTGAATAATAAGTAATCAATTAATAATCGATCTTACGTTCAATTATATATTTTCAGTTTATCAGATCTCTTACCGAATCACTTACGTGAAGAGAGGATATCTGCGTGTGTAAATAAAGATACAGTTACGGGTTGGGTTAACACTTTTAAAGCCAAGTAAATATAGTAAAATTACTTTGTTGAGTTGAGTGATACACGAGTATCAATAATAATAGACTTAACAAATAATATTTAACTTTCAGAAAAGTGGCACTGCTAGTGAAAAGGCTGTCTGATCTTGGATACTCTTATAGTAACTCTCGTCAACTATGCGCTGGTGAATATAGATTTGATCGTGTTTGTCCAAGGTTTGTTACGTCTTCTTTACACATAGTATAAAATGATGTCGCTTCCGCTGTCTGTTCGCTTAGATCTTTTAAGCTACTCAACGGATTTTGATGCAGTTTTCAGCTATAGATAGAGTGATTACAGAAAGGCCGAGAAATTCAAAGGTTTGTATTTCATACTAACGGTTAAAACGTACCTAGAGACGAACTCGAACAAAGCGAGGGTGAGTCGCTAGTTTCATTATAAAATTAAGATGGTCATACAATTTTACCCACAGTATTGATTTCTTTCAGATTTATAACGCTACGTCCCCCAGACAATATAAGCGTTGGTCAAATAGATTTAGTCAAGGAAGGAGTCATCGTTCTTCAGGTAAAATCTCTCTACATATAATCTTACGTATTCTACATCAACGCTACGTAGGTACTTTTTATGTATTTGAATTATTATTAATCCAATGCCCGCGATCAGATTAGATTTAAATATGAAAGAAATATATATCTACGGTCTAGTAACCTAGTTCATTATTATTTGTATATCTTCTTTGTCATTTCGAGTATTACCCGTTTCAAGTAACAAAGAATTTAATTTATATTCACCACAGTATAGATATTAGAAAAAAGATTCAAATCTTTGCACTTGGTATATTATAATAATTTTATAAATTGTGATTACATAAAAAGTACCTACTTTCTACTTTCTATAAATCTAAAGGTTGATAAATATCTATACAAATGTCTAAATATGTATATATATGTATGTATAAAAATAACAATCGATTACTGTATTAGGAGCGCGAATTCTGTGAAGGCGCATCGACACTATGCCGAGCTCTACGCGCGAACGCTCTACGTGGCGTGGTAGCGCAAACGCACGCATCATCCCCTCGATGTTCTGCGTACTTAGCTGCTCAGCTGAAGGAGTTAGCTGCTGTACTAAAAGCAGAGACTCCTGCAGCACCCGCCACGCCAGAGCTGGGCAAATTAGTTGTATTCGGCGCTGGCGATAAGTATGAAAATAATAAAGAATTTCGCAGTACGTTTTTTAACATAAAAGGAAGGGTATCATTTCGACCCCAGAATAACCAAAAAGATTATGTAATATACGATTTGATCTTTTCTTTACATATTCTGAAAGTAGACTGTGTGCCTGATAAATATATTTATGAGGGAAAATACTACAATTAATACTACTTGTCGCAAGTTTAGTCTAACTGGAATTGAAATGTATGTAGGTAGGTACAAATAATATTTAATAATAAAAATAGATATCGTTAGGCGTCTCGATTTCTTATTTTAAACAGTTTAGTGGGACTTGTCCAGTTACCGCAGATGGTCAGTTATACCTAGTTTTACCCTACTACTTACACATATGTATGAACACATCTGTCATCTGACAATAATTACATCAAATTGATTATGATTTCACATAATTTTATAAATTTACTAGTTATTATTTTATAAGGTAAGTTTTATCTAATATATAAAATTTCCATGTCACAATGTTAGTTACCGTACTCCTCCGAAACGGCTTTACCGATTTTTACCAAATTTTATATGCGTATTCAGTAGGTCTGAGAATCGGCTACTATCTATTTTTCATACCCCTAAGGTATAAAATGTAACTTGTAGAGTAGAAAGCTACGTATGCGCATTACGGGAGCTCGGCATTGAGGCGTCAGAGTTGCCTCAATCAACTGCAGCAGTGTGCGTACTGAGTGACCCCGTGCATGGAGACACGCCGCTGGTGGCCAGCGCGCTGGACGGAGTCGTGGCGGTGTTGGCCACACCGCCCAACTCTTACTCAGCAGTTACCGATCCAATCGATCTGGTATGTGGAAGAGGAGGGGACTTAGCTATGCTTGAAGTGAGTACAAATACACAGTTATGAATAACATGAATATCTATATTAATATTATAAAGAGGTAAAGTTTGCGAATTGTGAGTTTGTGACGTTGTAGGGGGTAATCTCTGGATCTACTAAACCGATTTATGAAATTTGGTAAGAAGATAGTTTGAGACCCTGGAAAGGGCATAGGATACTTTTTATCCCGGAAATCATCCTTTGAGAGGGTGAAAATGGGGATGAAAGTTTGTATGGGGAATCAATCTAGGGACGAACCCGAGCGAAGCGAGGGTGAGTCGCTAGTACTAAAATAAATACAAATATTTATTGAATGCTTTTCAAAGATTAACTAATATTGTAAAGGCATTTTTATGTATATTATTTTATAGATTTTGACTGAATCGGAAATAGATTCTAACGGAAAGGCGCGAGTGCAATCTATATTGGAAGAACAAAAGAAAACATTAAAGACACTTTTGTCAAAACCGCAGGTGAGAATTCAAGAGGAAATAATATATGTTACAAAATTTTGACAACCTAATAAAGTTCATGTTTTTTTTTGCCAGATTCAGTTGATTTTATACGAAACACATTCAGCTTTAGAAGCAGAGAATCAGGCTCAAGTGACTCGTGCAGTGGCTGAAGCCAACAGACTCGCCAGAGAAAGACACGCGTTACTCAAAAAGAAACATAGAGATCATGTTAGTGTGCTTATATGACTTTTAATATTTGATGCAATTGTAAGTAAAAGACTTTCTTAGATTTATGCGAATATTTGACATTTTATATAAATATTTTATTCCTTAGACACCAAAACATAAAGAGCCCACTGAAGCAGCAATAACTGATTCTTGTACATCATTGGAACAATCTGAGGATCTTGATAAGGAGGATAACGAAGAGGACTGTTCTACTTATCGCTCTCAGAAGAGACCAATGTCTTCTCCTCCAACTACTGCAAGGACAATGTCGGAGAGTGGAGAGACTGTTCTAAAGAAACGGGCAGAGAGTGCCGACGTCGCATGGCGCCCAGGGTATAATAAGGCTCGACCGATTCCTGAAATGAAAGTTGTTGAAACCGAACCGTTTCCTAGAGATCCAGATAAAGACAGCCCCAATGTTGTTGTAAGTCGACATTTTGTTTTTTTATGTACCTATAGTATAAATAAAAAGCTCAGTAGATATAAGTACTTAAGGAAGGATTTCAATTTTTATAAAGTTATATAAAATAAATTACGAATACTTACAATTTATTTTAGGTGCCGGACTGTGATTTGTTTGAAATTCAAATGCTACCAAGCCTTGGGAACGGTCTGGATATCAATTACATACTCGACCGTGACGGATGTTACTTGGGGCTTATACAACGAAAGGTTAGCCCCATGTAATTTTATTAAAAAAACTAAAATATGATATCTTGCCTTAACAAAATCTTAATTTTTCAAGCAAGCATCATATCTAAATCTTTATATATATATAATTCTTCTGTGAGTGTGTATGTCACTGAACTTCTCTCAAACGACTGGACCGATTTTGATGAAATTTTTTGTGTGTGTTCTAGGGGATCTGGGAATGGTTTAGATTCACAATTTGAATAATAATTTTCATCAAAAAAATTATTAAAAAAAGTTTGAAATTTTCAAATTAAAGACGTGTAGACAGGACAACGTCTGTCGGGTCCGCTAGTATACATATAATCTATGGATGTTTTATTTTTTATGATAATAAATAACAATTAAGCAGGCTCATGTAGTAATATCTTAAAAATTTAATGCGACACAGCCAACTACCAACCTACTCCACGCCTCTATTGAGAGCGCAGCAACATCCTACAGTCTACACTAACACGACACGTCTACACAAAACGGTATGATATAAATTACGTCAGGCGTCACGCAGGAGATCACTCGGCTAGACGCCAAGTACATGATACGAGTGGCGGAGGAGCGCGGTCTCTTCGGCAGCGCGCCCACGCAGCGGCGCAAGCGCAATGAGCAGCCTGTCGTCGCGCCGAGGAGGCGGCGGAAAAAGAATATCACTTTTGAGGGTAGTTTTAAATATTTTATCTATTTTTATAATACAGGGTCATTTTTAATTTACTGAAGACTTTTTGAGAATATACTATTTAGTATTTACATCACAGCAACAACGTCTGTGAAAAAAAAATATTTCTCCAAATTTTACAAAAATAAAAATTTATGAAATATATTTTTTTTGTTACGAATATTGTTGTTATGATGTAAATGGTATATTCCCAAAAGATCTTCAGTAAATTAAAAATGACCCTGTACATATATTTTTTTTGGAATTGTGAGACAGTTTCTTGGGTGGGTGGCCTTTGTGGAAAATTTCGGATTTGATTCTTTAGCTATGCGGCTTACTTTAGTCTAGAGTTGCTTGTCTCATTTTAGATAATGGCTGGTGGTGAAGGTATGACTTTGAAATTACTTTTTGTACTTAGCAAAAAGTTGAAAATAGATACATCAGAGTAAGATTTAGTTAAATGTTCTACGTTCTCTCCGTCTAGAAGAGATATCATTCCATATATTTTTAGTGAGTGAAATATAATATAGGTACTTTATATAACAACAGGTGGAACGTGTAGCAGCCCCCACATACGCCTCGCTCTGCCGATCCAACCGACGGGGCTCTGCCCCCGCCTGCCTGCACGAGGCCGGCGAGGGCGCCGCGCCGGCGCGCGTGTGCTCCAAGCACGCCCGCCGACACGCCGCCGCCGCAGCGTACACTGCTGCCTGCACTTGTGACGCTAGACATCGGTATGTGTTCTGTTGTCGGACTAATATATAATTGCGAAACTTTGTTTGATTGTGTGTGTGTATTTTTTACTAATTACGATGAAGTCTAAAAGGAGGGTTATGTGTTTGACCTGTATGTCTGTATGTCCGAACATATCAGTTTCCGCGTAATTACTGAACGGCCAAACCGATATTAATGAACTACACGTGGTCAGAATTGTCTTGATTACGCGAGTGTCATAAGAGATATGGAAATGATTAAAAAGCAAATTGGCTGATTTGTGTGATTGTTGGCAGGCGCTAATTTGTGTTGTGAAATTATTTTTTTTCCAAACGTATCGAGTGGGGTATCTACTGCGTAAAAGCGTATTAAAAGGATAAAAAAAAGTTGACGAAGGAACAAAGTATTATACAGTCGGTAGATATACATACATACATGTTTTATACTTGCTGCAAGTGTTGCTACAACCTAGTATTGTATGACCTGTGCTACAAATTGTTTATATTGAAAATTACAATGTGGTGTTTTAATCCTGCCACAATCTTTCGACCTAAGTATATAGTATAGTAACTACAATGAACAGCAAACGAATAACCAATTTGCAGGCACCAAAACAAGCCGCGTCGCGCGTCAGCTGACGTGACCATACAGCGCCCCTTCTCCCCGCCGTGCCGCCGGCCCTTCCCACTCGTAGTGCACGACCTGCGCCTCAAAGACGTTTTCCCACACAAAGTTGTTGTATAGTGATGTAGCTATGTAGGTACTATATCGATGATTTGGCTCAATTTAAAAAGAATTATTTAAATAACTTCAAAAAAAGTGGTAGTGCTTAACTGAGGTGTTTTAATTTATCAGAAAAAAATCCACCCCTGTAGATGGACTTCGCTGTGGTTGAAGTCGGTGTACTTTTTTAGTTAAGATATAAACACCACTAAAATTATAATATATAGAAATTTTTTATAGTAGTTTTAACCGTCTTGCTAATTATCCGGATGTATATGAAATTAAAAATAATATATAAAATATATGAAAATATGTTGGATATGCATCGGACTCAATTGCAAAACTCTATTTTTTTTATTATTATAAATAATTGTAATTAAAGAATATTTTTTACTTCTTTAACCTATTCAAGTCATCGATGTTACATCTCCATTACAACTTTAGATGGCACGTGCATTGCTTCCCGATTCGATTTCCAAATACGGGTACTTTCCAAACAGAAAACATAAGAAAGTGTAGACATTGATGATGTATAAATGCATTCAGGTGCCCGAAATTGTAAACCTTTTTGGATTAAATCAGGGCATTCCGTGCATGTGCCACTCCCTTATATGTGAGAAAAAAAATCGAATTTTGTATTATATGTTATTTCATTATTCACATTAGAGAATTACGAAGTATAAATTATTACACTAAAAATACTCTTTGTAACTAGCTTATGTCAAAAATGAATATTAATAAATTTCTAGTTAAGCATTCATAAATGTACAATATAAAATGAAATATATTTTTAATTAAAAAAAAAAACAGTTCCTATTAGCAATTAATAATTAAATTATACAAATAAACAATTATAATAAAACAAAACGTGTGTATAAATAAAACAAACTTTATTCATTAATGTTACAAGGCGCCAAATAGTGGCTAACAATAGGCTAAGGACGTTAAAGCATCCCGAAACCTTTGGAATAGCTAATGGCTTTCATCAGTCTGTCTTCTAGTTTTTCTTTGTTCTCGTATTCGGGTAAAAGTAGTACATTGAAGCAGGTATGGGCAGCGGGGAGGCGGTCACAATCTGGGCCGTTTCTGGCTATAACTAGCTTCAAATGACTCAACCCCCCCACTGGCACACGATCAGAACCGGTAGTGAATTGTAAAAGTTTTCGTTTGTCCTCTAAAGAAAAGCTGTGCACGATACTCCAAAAGTCCTTTATAGTCTGAGAGTCGGCCGTGTAACCGCCATCGTATTCCGTTGATTTCTCTAATTCGTTGAAGTCGAAATTCTGTAATTGAATTTTCTTAATATAGCTGCACTGTAATGACTTAAGTTATGTTTAGAAAGTGACAACAACTTTTTTATAGAAAAACTCAATAAAATAACTAGTCACTATTATAGAAAATAATTTGGATAGACAGGAATCGAACCCAGGACCTCCATTTTTGATTTGCAGCCGTACATGCTAGACTAGACCATCGGGGCATTCAAAATGGTGAATTTCATTAATTATGAAATACTAGCAGAACCCGCGGCTTGGCTCTCGCTTAAACTACAAAAAACTCTAAAAAGGTAGGTTTCATGCAAACTTTAATCCCCTATTTTACCCCCCCCTTATGGGATGAATTTCGAAAAATGCACCACACAAACACCGTTCAAGTCAAAATGTGTCGACTAACTAACATACGGATCGTAATCTGGGAACTTGACCTTAATAATCCGTGTCCGTTATATTTTTTTATGATCCAGCACATCACTACACATACATATATGTCTATCTGTATATCTGTGTATGTCTTATTAGGAGGTTAAGGTACCACAAAAGTAAGCAAGGAACACTTACAAATGGTTAATTCAATTAATTATTAAGAACGCTGTTATAGTTACTGATGCTTCGGTATGATCTCCATTTGTCCTTATCTTCATAAATAATACAGAGTGTGTCATAGACAAAAACAAACAATCAACATACACTACAAAATGCTAGCTGCACACTCGATCTATATCATTGCTCTATTGATATTATTAACAGTATGTCTGTCTCATGAACGAATTAGAGACTGGACCTGACATAAAATACAAATGTATGAAAACTAGTTCAACCAAGTGACGCATAACGCACACAAAGATTTTATTACATTATTATAAACACTGATACACAATACAATATTTCTTCTGTTTGTGTGCGCGTGTGGGTGTATGTGCGTGTGTGTGCGTGCGTGCGTGTATGTGTGTATGCTTGTGTGTATGTGTGTGTGTATGGGTGTGTGTGTGTATATGCGTGTACCTTGCTCCCGCAGACGAGCGTCTCGACCTCCTCGGGGCGGAAGAGCGCGCCGAGCTGGCTCTCGTCCGTCACCATCACGAAGCCGCGCCGGAACGCGCGGAACTGCGTCTCCACAGACTTGTTCAGGAGGAAGTCCGCGTACATGTCCACGAATTCCTGAAACATAATATACATTATCATATTATATTAGATATTAGATGATTCTACAGACATCTTAGTCGATTGCAATTTTATAGAATTTTGAATTATTATCTATACTAATATTATAAAGAGGTAATGTTTGTGGGTTTGTAAGTTTTTGATATTGTGAGTTTGTGACGTTGTAGGGGGTTGTCTCAGAATCTACTAAACCGATTTAGATGAAATTTGGTAAGATAGTTTGAGACCCCGGGAAGGATATAGGATACTTTTTATCCCGGAAATCATCCCTTAGGGGGGTGAAAATGCGGATGAAAGTTTGTATGGGGAATCAAGCTAAGAACGAATTATTTTAACCTTCAAAGTTATAAGAAAATTTTCAATTTCCTGTGCAAATCTTCTAATTTTTTTTGCCTAAAATTCTTTCTCGGACTATTACGAACCTTTCATGAAAAAATCAACTAAATCGGTCTAGCCGTTGTCAAATGGTGCGCTAACCAACGATTTCAGTCACTGCGACCTATCTACAACATTGGCGGATATAGAAACTATAATGTAACGTGTGTCTATGCACATACGGACTAAATGGCTGTGGTAAGACTAGAGAAAAATAAGGCGCAACGCTCTGTCTCGGCACAAGCGTAACAACGCCAACTTTCCAATCTTTTAAAACACTTTAACAATAAAATCCAGTAGCTAGCTATACTTGGCCAGAAACGAGACTCGAATCTAAGACTTTACAAGTCTCATCCAAATATAAGAGTCGGGTAAATATTATAAAAAATATAGGAAATCAAATACAAATAAATTTTTATATCTTTACACAAAAAAAAAATTGAAGAAGTTTCTTATATACTTAGTTAACACAAAAAATAATAATAATTCAATTTTTATTCTAATCGTTATTTCTCAAATTAAACTACTAATAAAAATATATATATTTGTAAGTAATACAAAATATACACCTTTTTATCAATTTAAATGTACCTGTTTATTTTCCTGCGTCACAAATATGTTATCAGCATTTTCTTTTAGATCGTGGAAAATATTGTTGCCGAATACATCTGTGTAACATATCCTGAACGTTTGGTAATATGCTTCTTCTAAATCATTGCCTGTGTATTCTAACATGTCTTTTAAACCGTTATATAAAGTCTGAAAAAAAAAGTTATTTCTTTTTAAATATTAAGTTGTTTTCATATGAGTTCTATTCAGATATATATATATATATATATATATATATATATATATATATATATATAATCCATATATTAATAGGCAAAGACAAAACAGTTTAAAACCTTTTTCCCTCTTGTTCGTCAATCGATTTTCTTTTTTATTTGTTTTGTGGTTAACTTTTGACGAGCGAGAACGAGATTTTGTCATCAATAAAAAAAAATGATTATGGTCACATTTCGACCACTGGGCGAACACTAGTCTTTAGGAATCTTTTTTGAAACAGAGTAGATCTCTAAAAGTGGTTTTTATACATATATTTTATTCAAAAAAGGTTCAGACATTTTGCTATATAATCATATCAGACCAACAAGCTTTTCAACAACACTGTCCCTTATTAAAATCTATATCAAAGAAATGATGAGGTTCACTCACCGCATTCCAGTCAGCTAAGTCTTCAAAGGAGCCCTTCTTTCCCATAAGCTTTCTATACACGACCATAGGGAAATTAACGGCTAATATTATATTGTTATAAATTGCGAGTCCTAACACTATACCAATCAATGTGAACTGTGCTTCTGTTTCGAACGACGTCGGGTTGAACCTGTAATCACCAAAATAACAAAGGGTTCACTATTATTATTAGTGAGAACCTAAAGGCCTATACACACCACGTTTTATAAACGCGCGGTTGACGGACATTTATCACGAGTGTACGCCGTTAGCCCATATAATTGTTAAAAAAATTAAAAAATGCAGATTTCTTGCTTTCATATAGATACTAAAGCGCGAAAAGCGTCTACAGCGAGTTAAGAATTGGTTGTGTGGGTCCTAATATTTTATTTGATAAAATACTTACGTTTTTTTTTAAAGAATAATTATATCGGATTCGTTATTAACAAAATTTTTTTTGGTAATTTTCATTATTTAACCCTATAGCCAGCACCATTTTTGTCAAAAAATCTACAAGGATTGTCCTTTGGTTATTTTTATCATAATTCATTGGAGGCATGTTGAACAATATAATATTTCATCCCACTCACCAAACGGTACTCTCATCAGGTCTCTGCGTGAACATGCCATAGTCTGGGTTGAATATCTGTTCCACTACGAGCTGGAAGAACTCCTTACTGACGCCGCCCTCGTCCACGCCCTGCTCGCCCTCGAACTCCACCACGAGCTGCTTCTTGAGATCCAGAGCACGCTCCATTGCTATCATCTCCAGCTGGAAATGTGTTAATGGGCATTAATGTCCATATTCTTTCTTCTGATTCTAAGATTCAGCTTAAGAACAATAATGTTTAATATCGAAATTATAAAAGTTTCACTATAGTTCATTCACGTTAAGAAAATAGTGAGTCATCGGTGTCTACCGGCCTAGCCACGCCCACCGACCAATTAGGTTGCTAACATTATAAAATCAACTTTCACAATGACCAGTTGAAGGCAGACTTAAATATATTATTATTAATGACTTTATTTTGATTTGAGATAATTATGTTGATTAAATATCTCAAATCAAAATAAAGTCATTATCATCTCAAATCATGATTCGAGATAAGTAGGATAATGAAGATGGCACACCTTGGGAATGAAATGATCGCCTCCAGGCTACTTCAACTTGATAGAAATATTGTTAATTTTACTTTAAAAAAAGATAACAAGTTAATATTAGTCCCGCTGAGTTTCTTTCGCCAGTTCTTCTCAGGTCTGAGGCTTCTTCTTTCCGAACTGGTAGTAGACTCATGACGTTCAGTAAAAAATTGTAATAATTTAATGCCGAATAAAATATTTTGAATTTAGAATTTAGTTGATTTTTATCCAATTAAACTTAATCTTTTGAAATATTGAATTTGAATTGAATTTTACTCCCGCTTTGTATACACCTTTACCTGCCGTTGCACTTGATGACTCACTATTTTCTTAAGGCAAATGGACTATAGTATCCTTTAAGAGACAATCGTAGTAATGGGGGCAAATAGCAGGCCATTGGACACAATGTTGCCACAATGAAAATCAGTTTAGGCTATGGTTTCTAGAAACCGTCTCAAATTATTTAGTGGTGTTTATCAATTCCATAAAAAGTGTTTATTTTTAATACTTTTAAGTATTTCTTCAAAACAGCAATTAAAAAAGCACAGTTTAAATAGTTGGCCGTCATTGACGTCACAGTGAAGTGTCATAAACAAGCCAGCATACACAAGTTGAGTTAGCTTATTTATTAATATTTATATTATATATATATATATATATATATATATATATATATATATATATATATATATAATTTTGTTATTTATTTTTATTACTATTCACTATTACTGAATAAAGAAAACGCACAAATAATGTTTAGCGTGAGCAAGCACAAATACAAGAAAGTAAGAATGGTAATGACAGTGTGTCAATACTCATTGGCAGGCATGTTGTTCGACAGTTTACTTCTCTGCCAATCTAGATCATTTTCGATCACGTGGTAACACAGAAAAATAAATTAAGTTTTCAAGGGCTTTATGGCACATTCAATAAAATATATTTTTGTCCAATGAATGTATATCGCTTTTAAACTATACAATGTCAATAAATAAAACAATATGTATTACTTACAAACAGCCTATCAGTAGAAGGTCTTCATAATTTTTTATGATTTTACTAGCGACTCACCCTCGCTTCACTCGGGTTCGTCCCTAGGTACGTTTTAAGGGTTAGTATGAAATACAAATCTTTAAATTTCTCGGCCTTTCTGTACTATAATATGCATGTATTATACATATAAACCTTCCTCTTGAATCACTCTATCTATTAAAAAAAATCGCACCGAAATCCGTTGCGTAGTTTTAAAGATCTAAGCATATATATAGGCACAGACAGCGGAAAGCGACTTTGTTTTATACTATGTATGTATGTCATTTTTATAATCATCATTTGGCTGCGATTTAGGATTGGGGACTCTGCCCCTAGCGGAGTGGGTGGTATTTCTGGATAAGGGACGTGATAGGAAGTCGAAATGTTAAATAAAAATTGTCCGCGAACGTATGAGTAAAAAGTTATTGAGACTTAAAGTTACAACATTTCCATACATTATTTTGACATTACTACCATTTAGACACTTGGAGTCAAAACGTCACTTTCAATTGTCAAAATGATCTCCAGATGATTGTCTTTATTTGTACTTTGCGTGAAATTCGAATTTTCTAGTTTTCTAGTCATTTATGGCACTCGCCGGCCGCTACCGCGGCACGCTCGCTTCGCTCGCTCGGCTCGTGCGTTGTGGCAACTGTTCTAACCTAACCTAACCAAGATATGAGGAATAATAAATAAATAATCTTAAATGTTCTAACCTAACCTAACCCAGATATGAGGAATAATAAATAAATAATCTTAAATGTTCTAACCTAACCTAACCCAGATATGAGGAATAATAAATAAATAATCTTAAATGTTCTAACCTAACCTAACCAAGATATGACGAATAATAAATAAATAACCTATGTCTTAAACTAACCACGATGTCGCAAAATAAAAACCAAAAGTAAATAATACATTTAGATTTTAAAAATAGTCTACTCACGTTTATAAATTGTTTACACTAACACTATGAACACTTAAAACTATAAAAATAATATTAAAACAAAAACAAGAAACGAAAGTATATAAAAATTAACAAAAACTAATAACTAATGGAAAATACACAGAGTACAGAGTCACAAATTATGAAACTTCGCGGTATTTTAAGAACACCCGCCAATAATACTGAAAAATATTCACAGATAAAAAAATGTTTTTTTTTTTACTAAATGTACAATTGTAAAACAATATATTTTACATAAATCAGATAAAAAAATCATAAATGTATTTATGAAATGAAAATAATATTTTTCTTTTTATTTATTTATTTATTAATATTAATATTTTACCAACAGAAAAAGCAAAAATAATCAAATATAATCTGTTGTCATTTAAACGGTAATATAAAACAAAGTGTCAGTTTTGCTTTTGTCAAAATGTAAGATCATTTTGTTTGTGTTGTGAAATTATTAAAATATTAAATACAATAAAGCATTAATTGTTGTGAAAATGTGTAATGTACATAAAAAAGGATGCGTACTATTCGTTAAAGGTATGTTTATCTGTTGTAATCACTTATTTAGGTAAAGAAATGTATGGAAATGTGTTAGATATGTTATAACTTGTAAGTCTCAATAACTTTTTACTCGTACGTTTCCTCCAAATATTTTTAATATATTTTGACTCTCTGTCACTTCCCCTATCTAAAAATACCACCCACTCCGAATGGTGGTAAAGAAATATATGAAAATGTATGGAAATGTTGTAACTTTAAGTCTCAATAACTTTTTACTCATACGTTCGCGGACAATTTTTATTTAACATTTCGACTCCCTATCACGTCCCTTATCCAGAAATACTACCCACTCCGCTAGGGGCAAAGTCCCCAATCCTGAATTTGTGCCCATCATTTTAAACGACAAATATCTCACAAGTACCAGGACAACATAACACACAAGGAGCACATGACTCACCTCGACCAGCGCGTCGTCTATTATATGGGAGCGCCTCACTTTGAGCCTGAGGAAGGGCATGGGCGGGGCAGCCCCTACCACCGCGTGCAGTAACGACACGCGTCTCTCCGAGTACATCCGTATACGGTTCTCGTAGTAGAGGCCTAGGGACTTGGTCGCCGCGGTCAGTATGAACGGGTATTTGAGGAACGAGAATTTTTTACCTGTTCAAATATATAAATTGTTAATTGTAATATTAGGTAGAAAAACTGTTTTGATTGTACCGTTATTCTAAGACTTGTAATATATTCACTTATTAGGTATACACAAAACTGTGAAATTCATATAATTTGTATATGTTTATCAATCTTAGTAATATATAAAATATTTGTATTTTTTTACGATTTACAAGTAAAAAAAAATATATTTTTATGATCACTAAGTGTACTATAAAGACAAAGTGAATTCATGCATCATATCTTACATAATAAAAACTCACCATTACCTATTTCAGTTTTACAATTAGCTAAGTCTATATCCATTTCTATAGTATCACTAAGAGGTTCGTTGTAGAACTCTTCAAATGGCAAAAACGGTTTTCTAGCGTCTAATACATTGATATCTAATTCAATTGCTGGAATAAAAAAAAAATATATTAAAAATATTACATGATTTAGTAATTTGGTCGAAATTCTGTGATTTTCAATGACCAGTGATCGGAATAGGCTGAATCTATTTACCTAAACTTTGCGCCGATACATGACATATAGTATATAGTAATCACAAAATTCCCAGGAATTTTTAGTTCGAAGTCTCGGAAATTAGTTTAATTTTCTTTATGTTATTCTGAATTTAACAATTATAAGTATATATGTATATAATTGTGCATAAGCATTCAAAAAGTAAATCGTCTAAGAAACTTACCTAAAGGATCATCCTGTTGAGCTTGTTTAGAGTTTTTGATAGAGGACAAGGGATATAAATGGTCCAAGGCGTCGCCTAGCGGGTCGAGCTGGTTAGCTATCACCACCGGCTCTTCCCGCAGCGTGTTAGGCTCGATCGCTCCCGCTAACATATTCGCGTAGTATACTATCTGAAATTATTGTTTTTGAGATAAATTATTTTGTTTATATGTAGCAAAGGCAAAGACCAGATAAAATCCTGTTTCATATGCGAATCATTTTTGACATGATTACCACTTGTCTTACCGTGAATGAAAACATCGCAAAGCAACTTCTCGATAGACATGTGATGTTTAAAAGTCATGTGGACTATGGTCTGATCCCCCTGCTATTGCAGGGAGGCTCGTGCCCAGCGTTGGGACGTTAAAAAGAGGTAAATGGTTTATGAAATTGCTATTTACTAAAAAATTGCTAAAAAAACTAACAAACTATTTCGCGGTAATTCTTTTTCTTTCTGTCTATAAGGGGACTTAAATACTGAGTCAAATATTATGTGAAAAAATATAAAATTTTCTAGATGATTTGTTATTTTGGAAAACAAAGTATAAAAGTAAATGAAATAAGAGTAATACCTTCATGAGTTTCGTAGCCATGGTAACACTCTCATCGTCTTGAACTTGGAAATTTCTAGAATAATTTGTCGATATGACTCTTAGTGTTATAAGCTGTTGTAGTGTTTCTAATATATGGCGAAGACTATCTTTACAATGCTGGGCCCATACTCGAGCTAATTTCGCTTGAGCTGAAAAACAGTTTATGTAAGTTAATATTTTTATATTTATTTTACGGTTATTATGGATATCCCTCAGGAACCGTAAATTTTTCCCGGATAAAAAGTAACCTATATGCTATCCCAAACTATAATTTATCTTTGTGCTAAATTTCATCCAGATCCATTCAGCAGTACTGGCGAGATTGAGTAAGAAACGGACATCGATTCAAACTTTATAATATTTATAGGATATGGGATGCCATTAAATTCTTATTCGTTTCATTGACGGCTTAGCTCTCATAATAGTTTCACTCAAATCCTTTTGAGCTATGAAAGCAAAAAAAGAAACAAATTTTAATAACTAAATTAAACTAAGTATTATAAATGTATAATATTCCTAACTAGATTGAACTGGGGTGTACTTCCGAAAAGCGCATACGCTGCTGTACACACACACACACACACACACATACCCTTTTTAGGGGAAAGCTAACATACACATAACAGTTTTTGGCGTGAAGTACAATTTTATTTTTCTTAAAAGAAAACTAAAAACTAACTAGTAAAAACTTTGTATGCGACCGAGATTCGAACCTGGACATCTCTGATTGTTGATCTTGCACCTTGGCCGCTTGACCACGATGCTTATGCCCGAGCGTGCAAATTACCGACCATATTTTGCGTAGAATAATGCAAAAGAAAGCTGTATGAAAACTCGAAAACACGCGTTTTCTCAGACATAAGACTAATCTAGATCGATTTATCGCCCCCGAAACCACTTGTATACAAAATTTCATGAAAATCGTTGGAGCCGTTTCCGAGATTCAGATTATATGGGTGGTTCTTCAAAATTTGGTTAACTTATGGCCTAATTTTGACAAAGGTCTTTTTAGATGGTTATCAGTAAATTTCTGATTCTATACTGTGGATATAATATTTACTTTGTTGCATCTAAAAGGGCCAGTCACTTTACAATGTATTTTAAGAGAAATTCAAGTTTTTTTGAAATCAGTTATCTAGGGACTGACGAGACATGATAGGGACTGACGCCAAAGACGGTTAATGTGTTTAATCAGATTTTTGTACCAAAATTAACTTTAACAAAATAAAATAACTTACATATTATTATTAATTATTGTAACAAACAGTCAAAATATAAGATATTTTATATAACAAGTAGAATTGTCTTCCTACAATCTTAAATTTAGTATCATACTCAAAAATATTCAATGTACTGAAGTAGACAATCAATTTTATGTTACCTTGACAAGCTATTTTTTATATCAGTGAAACTTATTATTACCTACTTATCTCTTCAGTAAACAAAATTTATAAAATCTGAGTAAACTGAAAAGTTACAATCGTAGGCTTTCTTTTATTAACTGTACTTTGAGTTTAGTTCTTACAAACTAAACATCTTTAAATAATTAGCAATACTTTAAAAATTAGCTTTCTAAGTAACAAAATTATAATTTGAACGTAATAATCACTCTTTCTCTAATTAATCACAAATACTATCACATCACTATTTATTTGTTCTACTTTTCGTAAGCGACAACATGTTTCTTAAATTTGTGAAACACGGTTACACCCTATTAGGTTAGGAACTGGCAGTTATTCTAAAACATTCTTCGTAAGGCACGTCAGCGATATCATTCTCATTTATTTGAAATTCTGTGCCATTTATCAATTCAGCTTTTTGATTAGGGTCGTTAGCCATGGCTTCAATTTTACTTTTTGGTGTAAGTGCTTTCTTATTTTTCGTCAACTGCCTCGGTGGTGTAGTGGCTAGCATGTACGGCTGCACACCCGGAGGTCCTGGGTTCGAGTCCCGGGTCGGGCCAAGTTTAGTTATTGAGTCTTCCTGTATAGTAAGTCTCAGTAACATCCCGGAGTTGAGAAGTTGGCGGTGTTTCACCCCCGTGCCTCGGAGAGCACGTAAAGCCGTCGGTCCTGTGCCTTAACTCTCACCGGTCGTGTCGAGTGGTCGTCCCACCGGAGTATGAGAGTAATAGGAATAGAGAGTGCACTTGTGTCTGCGCGTACACTTGAGCACTATAATATCTCCTGCGCAGTTGGCTAATCTCATTGAGATTGGCCGCCGTGGCCGGAATCGGCTAGGAGAACATCATCATAATTTTTTAGTCATTTTACGTTTCAGTCTTCTGTTTCATGGTTCTTCTATGCGCACGCGGTGTCATGTCCTTGACACATTTCCTTTGTCCTTTTTCTTTTTTCTTTGGATATTTATGTCGTTCTCTTTCTTTGTACTCTGCTAGCAAAATAGGGTCTTTTTAATTTTTTCCAAACGTCTCTTTGCCTGTTCACACTTTTTTTTGGCGAGTTCCCCTTTGGAAAGTAATGTTTTCTTTTTAGGTGCCATATTCTACAACAAATACATATATGTTATTATTAAAACCATGGATCACGCAGTATGACCGTCAGTCCCTAGGTGTGCCATCAGGCCCTAGTCACTTTTACGACGAGGGCCTGACGGTCTAGGGACTGACGAATCAAAGCAAAATCAAAAATAACCTATTATTTAAAATAAACATAACAACCAGCAGGTGATCAAAATAACAAGGCAGACAAAGCTCAAATTTACAATAAGTAATGAGATCAATTATTAATTAACTATCTTTGAAACGACTTACCTAGGGACTGAGAGTTTGACTGGCACAGCACGTGTTTCCGTAACAAAGTCGGCGACTGCAGTAAAAACGAAATAGCTGATGCGGCATTGGTCGTGTTTACATTTAACTTCACATCGATGCTTTCGCTCGAATAAGTTTTGAAAAACGCCATAAGCTTAGATGCCGCGTATTTTCGAATTTCGCAAATAGCTAGGGACTGATATTTTTTAACGCTTACACTTTTTAACTTGAAATAATATGATAAAAGTTATTGTTATTAAAAATTAAATCGCAATGACTAGGTTAATAATGTAATAGTAAACGTGTTTAAGTCGAGTTAAATCAAAGTATGATTTAGAGAATTACAATAACAATGAAATGCTTGCTAAATTTGGGAGATCTTACATGGCTAGGGCCTGATATTTGGAGTAGAAAGAAGCGATTTTCGGAAATAAAAAATATTGTGATATAAATCAAAGTGAGTGACCAAATTACATGAACTTTATAATATTGCTTAGTAGTTGCAAATATTCAATAAAATAGATATAAATATGTGAAAATTGCTGCTAACACCAAGTTAACCAAATTTTGAAGAATCACCCATATAGATATAGGTATACATACAAAAATTGCTCGTTTAAATATTTTAGACATAGATGATATTCGTGATTAGGAGGTGAAAACACCATTTACCTACCTTTAACAGGCAAATGTTCAGCAGCGTGGCACAGCGCGGGCAGCGCTATCTCCAGGTAGTCGCTGCAGCCGAGGTCCGGCACCTCGAAGGCTATCACGAAGCAGTTGACCGCGTCCTCCATGCTCATGTTCCTAGCTATCCGGAGATCTATCTCCAGATTTTCAGCAAGCGTCGTGAGAGCTGTCACTAATGCGGAACTGTAGTATTCTGATGGCACCTTTTGAAATTTTGTATTTATAGTAGGGTGGAGTATTTCATATATTTTAGAAAAAAATTGACAACGTCAGTTTTAACGTTTTTTGTACTACAGAATATAATATTAAGTAAAGTTTCAAGTTTTATTATTATATACTTGTAAGAAATTTATTAAATATTTTAGTAACAAATGAATTATAAAAAACTCACTTTAGCAAGGTACTGAAAGGCTCTCCGACACGAGGCGACATCGAGGCCTGGCCCCGTCACGCTGTCCACATCTTTATCTGGGTCACTTGATGAGCACATTGCTTTTAATTCCTTTTCTATAAATAAACATAAATAATAACAATTTCTATAAGTGGCTAATCAAGTTGATATATTGTTAGAAATATAATGTTTACTTTGTGAGAGCAATAGCATGATATATTTGTAATAATTCATATGTACGATAGGACGTCCTTTAACCTAAACAAAATCGCAAAAATAGACAAATTTTTATGGAGAATATATTTGAAATTAAAACCTATACCTAACCGTTGTATCTAATGATATGTTACTAATGATATCTTAACTTAAATATAGCCCTGTCTAGATCCAAGTCTAGCCCTATACAGATTGGTTGGAGAATGCCATACTTTTTTTATTTCGTACATTCGATACCTACTCGTCATGGTTGTTCTTAATAAATAAAAAACCGTGTGTATGTACTTATGTACGCACGTAAGAAGGTATACTTCTTTGGCGTAACAGAACAAAAATAGCTAAAGATTTCATCCCGTATGACACAACTCTCTGTTTGCAAAAGGAATGCAGCTAACTTAATCATGTTGCTTTTAGACTGTCGGTGTGTGCGCGCATCGTAAAAATTTACTCTCATATTTTGTTCCAAACGTCCCAAAATAAGTATAACTTCAATAATATACTTTAAAATTTGAGATTGACATAATACAGCTCATTAAAGTTTTTGTTTCACTAGCAATATTTAGATAAAATAATCTGGTAGGGAGGAGGCATATACCACTACAGAACATGAATTGTGAAAATTCCGAAGTCTGGAAAAGACTGGTTTGTACAATGTTCATACTCAATTATTAACATAATGACAAAACTTATATATGTATACATTAGTAGTTCACCCTCGCTTCGTTCGGGTTCGTCTCTAGCAAAACAAAAACAAACCTATTCCACGGGAACCGTACATTTTTCCGCGGTAAAAAGTAGATTGTGTTATTCCAGACTATAATCTATCTCTGTGCCAAATTTAACAAACATACATACTCACAAACTTTCACATTTATAATATTAATTAATAATACGGATGTAATAGTTAACATCACACATCTTGGTCTTTTTAATTTCTTGTTTGCTTTTTTATGTATAAAAAAGTTCTCAGTAGGTAATTTAAGGTGGTTTGTTTAGTACCTTCCTTCTACCTCTCAAATGAATTGATAATTTCATTGACTACATATATGTCTGTATATGATCTGTAATTGATACAATTCAGCTTTTTAACGTCTCACTGCTGGGCGCGGGCCTCCCATCAATACAAGGGGATAAGGCCATACTCCACCTCGCTAGCCAAGTGCGATTTGACGGACTTCACATGTCTTCGAAAACTTGTTAGGTTCTCTCAGACATGCAGGTTTCCTCACGATATTTTCCTTCACCGTAAAACAAGTGGTAGTCATGTTGGAAATGATTCACACGTAAAAATATTAGAGGTGAGAGACCCAGGATTTGAACCCGCTTCACTTGGTTTCCAAGCGAGCGCGTTACCACTGGGCTACCACTGCTTTGTAATTGATATCACCTCTAAAATGCAATGTTTTGAGAATGGCTAAAATTGGATAGATGGCATTACTATTCTTCCAAGAAATGTAAAATGTTTATACATTAAGTATAGTAAAATATAGCATAATATAGTATAGCATTAGTATAGCGATAGCATAACATTAAGTCCACTGTAAGCCCTACTTTAGTAAATCAGTTATATATCATCCATATATGGTCGACCACCCACTAAGCTAAGTTTCATTGTAAGTATACTTAAGATATTATGATTATTAAATATGCCTCCAACTGAATAAGACATTTATCTTTAAAACCTCCAAAACATACCACATTTGATGGCGACCCTGCCAGGATATGACAAGAAGAAAAGTAAGACAATGAGATACAATAGGCAGAATTCAAGATTTACATACCTGACTTTTTCTCTCCAGTACTATAGTTCTCATTATCAAGCACTTTCCTTTGAAAACACCTAGCTAGTATTAGTGGTTGTGTAAACGCTTCACCTAACGCCCTTATTAGGGTCTGTGGTTTTTTGCTTTGAAGACATTCATTGCATAGCTCATATATACGATCTTCAGTCAACGGGACACCATCTATAAGTAATGACAAAAGTAAATCATCTAAAGTTTCAATTAACAATTTATATCTTAGCTTATAATCCAATTTTATTTCACTGGACATGTTCCTTGAATTTTTGAATATCAAGTAGTTATATTTATATATGCATTAACATTTTAAAGGAAAAATTATAATAAGTGATTAGTTAATGATTTTCTATGTACAATTAATTATTAGCTTCTATATTAGTTTTTGCCTAATTATCATATTGCTTGCTACAAATACAATTCAAATTGTTATTACAACTCATTTAAAAAATAACAAAAAAATGTAATTTACATTGATATAAATAATTATGTCAATGGGTCAGTTACTTGCACTATCTCATTACACTTGAACAAACTAGGGGCTCACCCTCGCTTCAATCAGGTTCATCCCTAGGAATGTTTTAACAGTTATTATAAAATATATAAACTATATATTATATTACTATTCCGCTCCCTTGGGTAGCAGCATGATGACATATAGCCTATAACCTTCCTCAATAAACGGGCTATCTAATGCAAAAAGACTTTCAAATCAGATTAGTAGTTCCCGAGATTAATGCATTCAAACAAACAATCATACTCTGCTTCTTTATAATATTAGCATAGATAATCATAGACCAAATAAAGCTAATGCTAAGAGAAAAAAGAAGTACGACATTTTCAAAAATTAACTATCAATTTATTTTTCTTATATAAATTAATATGTCATATTATTTTTTTCTTATCAAATGGAAACAGAAGAAATAAACAAAAGTAATTGTAAGAGCAGCAATAATGCTATATTATCTTTTGGTACAAAGACAAAAGATATGACTTACTATTATGACTTAGAGTTTTATATTCCTCTTGAGATACATTATGACTAGCTTCAGTATGTGTCTCTGCCTTATTCTCTGTTGGTGATGTACTGCAGCATGCCGAATCAGACTTTTTCTCCTTTTCAATTGATTTGTCTTTTAAGCTTGAAGTTGTACAAGTTGTGCTGAAAATAGTAATTAAATATAAAACTAAAATAAAAATTTCTCCAATAAGTTTAAAGTTTTCATAAGCTTCACTTAAATGTATTTATGTTTATGCAACATTACCTGTATGTACAGGCATTAATTATGTAATTATACCTATATTGGCACACATTTTAAGCTAAGAAAATATTAGCTGAATCGTAATAAAATTCTACACAGAAATTATCTTTTACATTAATATTTTATTAACATTGTATTCATTACACTGCCGTAGATTTCTTAGAAATTTAATTAATTTCTTAGAAATTTACCTGGATGTGATAATTATTTTTTACAATTTTTTTATTTTGATACATTCCAATGACATTATCAGGTTTAATGAGAGATATCACTATCTTTATTAGGTTTATAAGCTTTGGTTCTAGACTTTAAAAGTACTTTCTAAGGTTTTTAGGTTTAAGTCTTTCTAAGGTAAGTTCTAAGGTTTTTCTAAAACCTTCATTTAAACTCACCTTGCACTGGAGTCACAAGTGCTTGCTTCTGTCCTTGGCACCTTGTTAGGCAAAGTATCACAAAGACGGGCTTCTTTATAGAAAAGTTTTATTGCTTCAGCTGCTGCTTCATTAGGGGTAAGATTTCTTGCCTATAACATTAATTATTCATTATTGTCAGTTATTTATTTCAGGTTATTTTGTAGACATTTTATTATGTAATGGAATTGATATGAGTACTACTTCATACTAATTAGATTTGCATTTTCTTTGATAACATAAGTACACTTTTTATTTTAATAAAATATTACCTCTCCACTTGATGCACAATATTGGTTATCACAATTAGGATTACCACATCCATCTAATAACTGATAAAAATATCTTTCAATCAATTGTCTTGCTGCAGCTCGCTTCATAATGTCTTGAGTATTGCTTGAACCTGAATCGGCGCATAAACCTGGTGCAGAGTGATCTTTAGAATTGCTTGGGGTTGAATTGTTATTTGACGATGATGCTTCGCTCCCCCTGAAAATGAAGATTATAAGCCAAGGTCTTTGATTTTTTCACGAATCAAGATCGTTGTCAACAATGATCGAAAAATGGCAAGTAATGCATAACCTCTAATTATCTCTATATCAACTACGCATAACAAAACAAAAGAAAGGAAATATGCGTGATATACACAAAAACCAATTAAACTTAAAGTTAAAAATAAAATAGACGATTTTATGACGACAAATTTATTTACCTTGAAGCTTCGTCAGTTTCGCTTTTTGAGTTCATAGAAATAAATGAATATGAATTCTTAACAACTTCTAATCATCTAATATTATTAACGCGAAGGCACCAAGCAAAACATTCGCTATTTGCTCAAATTCTAAGGCAATGTTTTTACAAAACAAATTAAGCAGGTACACAAAAAATCACCAATTGTTCTCATTCTACAATCTGTCAACCATTTTGAACTTACATATCCGTTTTACGCAATTTATGTATTAAAAAGTGTAAAAAATTTACACATAATCAAATATTTTAGCTCTTCAAACAAACAATAACAAAGTTAAAGGAGAGTATATAATAAAAAGGTTAAATTATTTTTATTTAAAATGTTAAACGATTTATTTAATTTAATAAATAAATAAACATGTTACCGTTACCGAAAAATGTTTTGGAAAGAAAACAAAACTTACATTTATTTTCATAAAAATGGAAAAGGATAATATTATGATGTATTTAAAATATTGTCTGCTTTTTAATTCTCTTTTATATGTTTGGTTACTAAACGTGTCAACTCTTAATTGTCATTAATGTCATCAAGTGCAAAATGACATCGACTGACGTATCTTATTGTCGTTGACACTTTTTTGTTTGTAAAATTTTGGTGAAACGTGAGAAATTTATGTATAACCAGTATAAGCATTCCAAGAGTAAAAAATCTTAGTCTAGTTAGTTTTAACCGGCCTATATTATACTGTTTCTCTATACTTATAGGTTTGCTCGAGTGAATATTTGAAAGATATTAGAGGCAGCAATCAGCATAAACATGACGGACCTCTTACCACTTGAAGAATCTGAACAAGATCGTGTGAAGGCAGTTCTTAATGGCTTCCAAGTGTATCCTTTTATATTATAATATTAATGTTATACTAAGATAAACATAATCTATAAAATACTTTTTTAAAAGTATTGTCTATATGGCCTTTTTTAGTATAAACTGCTTCTTTGCTTTTGTTACCTTAAAGACTCTGATTTATATGTGTACAAATTATAAATCCTAAATGAATAATCAGTAATTACATGAATCTTCGAGATGTTGACACAGGTAAATATCAGGCTACAATTTACTACACAATTAGTTTACTTTTATGTCATAACAATGTGGAGAACACTGGACATTTGCGAGCCAAATCTTGCTCAATAACTTATTTCTCTTAATGAAAATTTCTGGTACAAAATATAAAACCCTTTGTTGTAGTAGATATTTTTGCACAAATAATAAACATTTCAATATGAAAGTAAAAACAGATTTATAAATTATGGTTTTTAATTACAGGTAAAGTACTTTGGCAGCACAATGAAGATATGTCCAATCCTGATGTTGAGCATGAGGCAAGGGTACCGAAGCGCATCCTGAAGTGCAGAGTAGTCTCCCGAGAGATGAACTTCAGTTCTGTAGAACCAATGGAAAAATTTAGACTGGAACAAGTATGTTACAAGATAAATGTTTCATTTTAAGAATATGTCTACAACTATTATTAAAAATTCATTTGGCATTTGGCAAACATTAAAAAAAACTAATTGTTTTTTTAATTATCTACTTTAATAAACTCTTTGTCAAAATGAATAGGCAATTTCCCCAAATACTAGATTTATTTGAAGCCACTTAATAAAAAAAATAAAAATAGTTTTTATTTCTTAATCATTTTTCATTTTATGTTCGAGTCTTCCCAGTAAGTAATCCGAGGATACTTGTGTTAGGAATGGCCCGCTTCTTCCCATATGCATACTCTATGATTAAGTTAAACTATATATAGGATAGTTACACTAACCACTTAAAACTAAAATTGTAATAATGTTTAAAGTACTAAGCAATGACAATAAAATTAATAGTTTCATTCATCCATTTCAGAAAGTACTATTCAAAGGCAGATGCCTGGAAGAATGGTTCTTTGAATTTGGTTATGTTATACCTAACTCAACTAATACCTGGCAATCTATTATTGAGTCTGCACCGGAGTCCCAGATGATGCCTGCTAATGTATTAAAGTGAGTGTTGTTGAAAATATTAAGCATGAAATTACTAGGGCAACTTTATTTACTTATTAATTATTGAATACCATAGCCATATCTCTATTTTTTTAAACATAGATTTCTACTGAGGGTAATATAATCACAAGCCAAAGCTACACTTATTTAATACACTAGCGACTTACCCTTGCTTCGCTCGGGTGCGTCCCTAGGTACGCAGTTTTTTTTTTCGTTTTAATTTTTTTGCGCGGAACACTAATTCTTTTTCGAAAATAAAAGTAGCCTAAGTTAAGCTATCTGCCAGTGAAAGTCCAATCAAAATCGGTCCAGCTGCTTCGGAGATTAGCCGGAAGAAACGGACAGAAATTTTAAAAATTGTGTATTTTATAAGTACTGTATATACTTTCATATCTAATATATTTAAACGAGCAATTCTATATATATATAACATCTGAATCTCGGAAACGGCTCCAACAATTTTCTTGAAATTTAGTATACGGGGGGTTTCGGGGGCGATAAATCGATCTAGATTAGTCTTATGTCTGGGAAAACGCGTGATTTCGAATTTTCATGCGGTTTTGTTTCGCATGAAAATTCCCCGCAAAATATGGTCGCTAATTCGCACGCTAGGACATAAGTATCCTGGTCAAGCGGCCAAGGCGCAAGTTTGATGACCACAGGTGTCTGGGTTCGTATCCCGGTCGAATACAAAGCTTTTACTTTTGTTTTTTTTAATGTTTTTTTGGCCAAAAACTCCGAGCGAAGCTCGGTAGCCCAGGAACTGTGTTTAGTAAAAAGCTGTTATTTTGACATTACAAACAGACACTTCAATTTTATTTGTTTGTATAGATATGTATGTACCAATACACTTTTATGTGATGAATATATATGATGACCTTTTACTTAATATAGCTTTTCTTTTTAATTTTAGTGGAAACGTCATAATTGAAACAAAGTTCTTCGATGCTGATCTGCTGATAACAACATCGCGTGTGCGACTTTTTTATGTTTAAACGCCATTCTGTACCGCACAGCATTTATTTTACTTAGTAATTTTACTTTGTTTTAAATATGCATTTAAATGTACACTTAAAATAAATGAATAATTTTATGGTTAAAAGAATCTAGTCATGTTTTTTGAATATAAATTTGCACTTTTAACATAAGATAAGTACTTATAAGTGAATATAAATAATTTTTAAACATTATTTTAGTTTTTTTGCATTTTTTTATATTCAAGTTTGTAATAATAAAATAAAATTACTTTTGTACCATTCTCTTAAACATATCTTAAAATTATTGTTAGATATAAAGAATTAAACAAATGTGTGCACAAATCTGTCAAAAAATTATTATATACTAGCATTACCCGCGGCTCCGCCCACGTTCCGATGACCAGAAACAAAATTCTTAGGTTTTACATATTAGTATACTCTTATATTGCAGTTTTTGTATTTTTTCTCAGAAATGAGATATTTTTCCGAGGTAAAAAGTACCCTATATGTTGACCTGGATAACCAGATACCATCATACCAAATTTCATCAAAATCTGTCCGGTGGTTTTCTCGTGATGCGGTAACAGACAGACAGACAAAAAACTATAGATTCGGACTCTGTATCGATAATAATGTCTATTTCAATTAGATTTTCCAAAAAATATTTAATGTACAGATTCGACTTGGTTACAATTTTATTATATGTATGGATTTGTTCACATAAGCTATTCCATGTTTTAAGAATAAGTAAAGCACAAATAAAGAGTTTTGCTTTTATTAAAAAATATTTTTAGATAAATTAGTGCCGTAAATTATTATTTTTCATAGGATTTTTTCTTTATTATTCATCATTTTCAAACTCCACACTTCAATGCAAGGATTAGGTCATTTTTCTTCATGGTAAGACTTTGTTTTAATTTAAAATTGTTATAACTTTGTTTTTATTTAAAATTGTTATAACTTTAAAATAAACTTGCATCTAAAACAAGATCTGCTTTTCTTGATTACATTATATTTTGATGGGGTATTCATTTAATTTCTCTTGGATAATTTCTAAGAAATTAAAAAACCTATGGCTTTGCTAGAAACTTGATTTTTTTTATGTTTTAATTATAAAAAAATAAATAATATAACAAAAATATCAAATAAATATTAAAATATCTCAAACAAACAAAAAATGTTATGAAACTTTAAAGTTGCGTTTGTAAGAATAATCTCGTGACGTCACACGACCTGAACGACCGAAATTTTCAGTTAATTTTTCGGTCATTTATTTATAGAATTAAAAAAAAGTCACTAATTTATTAGTTTTGATCTATATTATAATTGCGTTAAACATGATATTAACAACATCATAAAACTTCTCCACTAAAATTCATTTAATTATATATTTTAATTTGCCCATAACATTGTATGAGATATTGATTTATTGGTTTTTTTCCTACTTAAAGGTGGACCTTTTTGTCTCTACCTATTTATTTCGGTCGATTGGTTTATTTTTTAAATGAGTTGGTTTTACATAAAATTCCATGTAGATTTCATTCATATGAAAAAAAATAATGTCACTTTTAGGGCGAAATGATTACATTTTAAATGATTTTAAACGTTTTTTTTTTGTAAAAAAGTATTTATTTATAAAATTTAATATTTCTGTTTGTATATTATATGGTTCGTTACTTTTGATAATTAAAAGTTCCATATATGACATTATATTATTTGGTAAACAAGTTATTTTCATAGGTACTACAGGTGTCATACTATATAATATGTAGTTTATTTTAATATTATATTCTCAGAAATATTTGATTCAACAGAAGTCATATATCAAACTAGCGAATTACTGTCGCTTCGCTCGGATGCGTCCGTAGGTACGTTTTCATTTTTTTAGAGGAACCCTAATTCTTTTTCTAAAATAAAAATTGCTTAAGTTAAGCTATCTGCCAGTGAAAAGTCCCATCAACATCGGTCCAGCTGCTTCGGAGATTAACCGGAACAAACGGACACAGACAAAAATTTTAAAAATTCTGTTTTTTTATAAGTACCGTATATAATTTCATATGTATTTAGTAAAAAAGCTATTTTGACATTATAAACAGACACTTCTTTGTATAGATTATCGATTATGATACAAAAAAACACGTTACAAAGCTGGTTACCGTTATACGGTAACCAGCTCTATAAATAGAATTGCACTATTTATTATATAAATGCAAAGCGTCATATAAATTATTTTTATGACGCTTTGAAGTATTAAGTTCGCACTCAGTTTTTACGATTGTTTTGTCGTTTTTTCTAACTTCCCCACGAGATCTTGATTTTAGTGTTTCACGAGTTCCTATTTGTTGAAAAATATTTACCTACTCAATATACACAATTTTTATTACTTGTTTAGTGCAATAAAGAATATTATATATATTATATATACACTAATGTATTTAAACCTAATTCTATCCCTAATCGATCTAGTAATATTACATATATCCATATGTATATATATATATATATATATATATATATATATATACATATATATCCATCAGATTTTTTACACAAGTCCTTTACACAAAACGTACGTTAACTAGAAATTATTATTTAAATAAATTATAATAATTATATGTATTTTTTATATTTTAGCTTTAACAATTATAATATGTAAATTAATGTTTTTGTTCGGTTTCCACGTTTATGGTACACATTAAATAAAACTATTTTAAAGATTTAAGTCGTGTATATTTTTAGTTTTGATTTTCAAAGGCCAAAATTTCAACTGTTAGTAGTTAATTTTTCTGTACTTGGTGATTCTCAAAAAAATCTAAATTGTTAGTGCTAATTTCCATAAAAACGAGATCGAAAGTTTTTTGAAAATAGTAGCTTCTCTTATTAAATAACATCACTGGGCTCGTGAGGCGTAATCATTAATGAATTTAATTTCTGTTATTATAAAATAAAAAGAAAACAAACAATTATTATTTATTAGTAAAAAAAAATTTAAAACATTCATTTGCCACAAAAACTGCATAATACTAAAAAAATACCACAACATTAATAAAATGATTTTTCAACTTTTTTGTGAAAATTACCACCTACTTCGTTGAGTATAAGTTTTTGCCTCATTTCATTTAATAATTATATTTTTATTTTTACTTTATAATGCATATTTTTACTTATATAATGTAAGTAACATACGATTAATTATGTAGTTATAATTTTCATCTTATAAAACTTGATTGTAATTAAAGTTGAGCAAAAGGCTATTAATATTTTTAATTTTTAATTATTCTAATGAACATAGGTAACAATATATTTCGTATTTTTACCCATTGCGCCAGAAGAAGGGTTATGTTCTTCGAATGTATGTATGTTATATATTATATTTCTCTGGCACACTGTAGCCTAAACGACTTGATGGATTTTAGCTTGAGAGGTTTCATTAGATTCGTCTTAATTGTGATAGCGAACTGGGTAAGTATATCAAAATTATAGATTTGAAATGAAATTGTCTTAAAAAATTTTTTTTCCTCGATACCTATCGAGCGGGGTATCAAATTAAACGCTTAAAATAAATAGCTTACAAAAATATATACAACTTATATGTTTAAATGTAATTTGGAATGAGCAATGCTATAAAACAACAAATAAATATTTACATATTATGTACATGTTTTATAATAGCTGCGTGTGTGTATGTCTCTGACTGCATAATACTACTCGTATGTTCCTTCGTCAAGTTGTTTTCATCTTTTTAGCTAGCTTTTAGCTTGTTTTTTTTGAATAAAATGTTTATAATATTTAAGTTGTCATAGTACGATTATTGTGGAATTCATTAAATATCTACCTAAGATTGGAAAAAGACCATGTTAACTTGCAACTTTAATAATTCTATTTCCTGGCAGCAAATGTATGTAGAGTTAGAAAATTAATAATCTCTACTCTTAACTTTGATAGAAATGAAATCGTACATAATTAAGAAAAAGATATGAAAAATACTCTGAAGGTACATAACGTTTCAGATTAGACGTAATAGTTAGGATTTAATTTGTAGCTTTCTGGATTACCTAATTATGAAAGCGTCATATGTAAACGCCAACCCGCACTTGGCCAGCGTGGTGGACTATGGCCTGATCCCCCTCGTATTGAAGGGAGGCCCGTGCCCAGCAGTGGGACGTTAAAAAGGGCTGAATACATATGTAAACATTTGCACACAGACGTCTGGATGATAATTGTCTAAAACATCTCAAAAGAAAAGCCATACTAGATCTAGCATTATAATTATAGCCTGAATAATGAATGAGATTAGATCCTTATGAGGATCAACTCCACATGACTACAATTTCTCAACAAATCTGCTTATAGTCAAAAGACTGATTGCAAATCATACCAGGAAAAAAATATATAATAATAATAATATATAAACATTTAGTGTGTTAGCATTTTCAGTAACATTTTAAATTGATCTTAAAGGTGACAACTACTATTTTCAATGGTTAAATCACATAGATACAATAAACCAATAGATAAATTCATTTCCGTTAGAAAACTACAAGAAAATGAAGTGATCTCATTGATTAGATGCAATCCAATCAGCTATCGTATCGTATCAATAAGTCGTGACTCGGCACTGAATTCTATTAGTACGCTGACACGTTTATCAATATTACCATAGAGGAAGCGTGGAGCGTGGTCACCTGCAGGAAAAGCTACGGACGCCATGACAGGAACTTTTTGTGAATTAAATCATTGGTGGCGGGCTGTACATCCTCTGTAGCCAGAACCCGACATCGGATTTCTTCGTAGAGTACCGTCGAAGGAAGCCGTGTCGTTTCGATGCGCGGCACACGCACCTACTTCGCATATAAATAATAGAAATTATACATATGATTATGTACCGGCGAGTGCTAGCCGCGTACTTGCCGAGAATTGTAATACGAGTATATCTGCTGCGCTGACCGGCCAATAAATAATAATTATTACGATGACATTCCGATAAATATTGAACGCTTTTTTCGATAGGAAGGTCGATGTTATCGGTTACCAACTATTACATATTGTAATAGAACGATAAGCTGCCTAATTGTATGTAAACTTGGACACTTGTTTGTCCCATTTCATCGATTCACTTTTGATTCTTTCGTAACTCACACGTAACGGTATAAATGGATTATTGTAGATATTCAATTAATATATCAACATATTATTACTAAAGTGATTTAACAGTATTTAATATAATTTTATTTGAAAAGTAATTTACGCTTTTATTTGAATATTTCCACTAATTACGTGCTAAGTGCATTGTGGATGTCATAATAGGTACCTACGTTTAATTTCATCGTATAGTTTTAGAAGTATAACTTATAACTATAATATTTCCACAGATTTATAGTACATACTTATACTCTACATACTGTTCAAGTATAAAAAATATTTTATGTACTGCCGAGTTTAGGGAATGTGAGTGGATAATCAAGATTTAGCCCTAGTGATGCCGACGAAGCGGTCGCCGGATGAACACCAAATGTGTGATATTTTTAGCTCTGTTGATTGCCCTCTTCCTGTTTCCGGCAAGCGTCGCTCTGATCTGCGCCGCGCCAACAGCTAATTAGTGATGAATAATTAATACCGATGCTTAGTTGACATGCAAATGGCTTAATCGAATTCGGTTTCGTGTAGAAGGTATCTATCTATATGTAGGTATAGGTAATTATCTTAATCATGTTTGTCATAAGAATTCGGATAATTCAAATTTTAATTTAAATGCTAGTATATTTATAAGATAATGATGTTAATGATGATTACAGTATAAGTTAACCTTTTCGGGTTCGTTTTAAAATTTTCATTGTAGATATAGTATTTTTGTCAAGGTTAAGACAACCACAATAGATAAAAGGTATTTAGGTAGATTTTTTATTGGTAGAGTGATATTTTCAAAACTAGGTACTCCTCTATAATTTTCGAAAACGACAAAAGTAGCGTACAATATTCGAATACATAATAATTTTAAATTATACTAGATCCTATTCATTTATATGATCAATACATTATATTTTTTAAATTTATTACTTTTCAATTAAATGTAAAACAGCTAAAGTTTCGCAAACCTTAAAAATAAAAATATGTATATATAAAAAGTTAAAGAAAGCTAATTCATATCTACATGAACGCTAAAGGCAATTTCGATGGTAACTTATTTGTGCTATTAGAAAGTGTCACTAACATAAAGGTAGAGTTCCCTTGAAAAGTATACATAGACAGGATAGCGGGTACGGGTGCGTGGCATCGGCCGGGTCAGCGTCCTCTCCCCCCTCACGTCACGACCGCTACGTCACACGCCGGGACTAGGTTTTATAACCAAATAATAGTTACAGGGCCATGGAGCTATGCTAAGTTGGATAACTTAGCGGAGTTTATTTATTTTCTGTTTATATACATAACTTATATATATATATATATATATATATATATATATATATATATATATATATATATAGTCATATGCTTTAGGTAAGTAATTGGTTGAAGAATGTAAAAGCATTTTCTTCAATAATATTAGAAAAAAAATCTACATATTTCATTTTAGTGCCACTAAAAATAAAAGAAGTTACATTGAACCTTTAATTTCTTTATAAGATAGATGATATGCAAAACGATCATAGATTGTTATTTAAAATAATCAAAATAAATATAATTAGCATCTGATAAGAAGCTCGGGTGATAAGTGTATAACAAAAGATGATGCTGGTTTATCTACATTTAGTGAATTTTTAATCAGGTAATTATACATTTGATTTTCAACACAAAATTTTTACAAATTCCAAATTTTATTTCAAAATCAAAAAAGATTTCAAAATTATCTGTATATGTAATTAAATTCAAACTAAGTCGAATCTGTACATTAAATATTATTTGGAAAACCTAATTAGATAGACATGATTATTGATAGAGAGTCCGGATTTATAGTTTTTAGAATTTTTTTCTGTCTGTCTGTTACCGCATCACGAGAAAACCACTGGACAGATTTTGATGAAATTTGGTATGATGATAGCTGTTTATCATGGTCAACATATAGAATACTTTTTACCGCGGGAAAATATTTCATTTCTGAGAAAAAATACAAAAACTGCATTGTAAGAGTATACTAATATGTAAAAGCTAAGAATTTGGTTGTTGGTCATCTAAATGCGAGCGGAGCCGCGAGCAATGCTAGTTTCAAAACTAAAAGTCAAAATAAATCCTAGTGCAATGGCGCGGAACAAAACAGCTCAGCAAAAAGAGTGGTCATTACAAAAAGTGGTTGTGTACGATTCGTTGTCGAAGGTAGTGGTCGTCGTGACAGGCTTCGGGGGAAACGCATTCAAGCGTTTAGCGGGTAGCTGTAAAAACTGGACGCACTTCGATAACCGCGATTACACTCGCTGTCTTAGCTTAACAAGAAGTAATCGGAAATTTCAAAAAACTTAATTCCTATTTAAAATTTCCTTCACCAAAACTTGAAGATATTTATTTATGCTTATTGGTCCACAAAACAAATGACAATCAAACACATATAAAATAAAAATATCTTGCAAATTAATACACAGGATTGCATCTTTCTAGATGCAGACACATCATGCTTATACAACAAAACTTAATATGTATTACAATAAACGAGATTTAACCTACGGTAACAATGAGGAACGGCTTTTATCTACTAACAATAACTAAAAAACTTAAAAAAATAAAAATTACTAACAAGATATAACCCCACAGTGTTAGTATTACAAATTAGTATCAAGGTATAATTTGATATATAAATGAAATAGGTATATCGGCGATAAATAGAATTAAATATTACACGTGTTCTTTAAACTTTTGAAATCAAAATGTAAGTCGATAGAGTTGCTTATAAGGATTTTCTTTTTAATAGTTAGATATTGGCTGTGTTATGTGTTCTAAGAATATACAGATACTGGAAATTCAGCATTGTTTCTTGTTTTTCTTTAACATCATTATAACATCTTATAGCTAGCTGCCTGAATAAATGATTAGTATATAATAATTAATATTCGACGACACGTTTGGCTCAGTTTGTATTGACCCTACTTGCTGTGCCAGCGGTCGCGGGTTCGAGTCCCGCTGGGGGCATTCATTTGTGTGATGGGCATGAATGTTTGTACTCCAGTCATGGGTGTTTATATTTATAATATGTATGTATTTAAAGTTATATGTATGTAGTATATCAACTGTCTGGTATCCATAACACAAGCCTAGTAGCTTACTATGGAATTAGATGGCGCTGTGTTAATGTCCCCACATATTTATTAATTAATTAATAAGTCTATACTTTTATATTTATAACTACTTCTCTATTCTTATCAAAATAATCACTAGATATTAAGTATAGTAATTAGTGAGTAATATTAGAAATAGCTACTTAAGCGCCTTAGCATAAAAAGAGAACACAGCCGCATTAAATTGCTTGCAAAATTGATTTTCGGTGCCCTTGGCGCGATTAGCTGGAAAGTCTAAATATAATGTTTACGATAGTAATAAAAATGCAAATTCTCAAGCAAAGGTCCCATTCAATCACGATTAATAACAATAATGATCCGACGATTCAAAGAATCGAGACAATAAAACATAAAAAACCTACATACACGTGCAAAGGTATCTGTCGACCTCCCATCAAAGGGGACAGCTCCTTAATAATAATGATACAAGATCGTGGGTCCTTTTGGGTATTCAAGGATAGCGAGTGCGCATTCGGAAGGCTAGATCCCGGTATGGGGCAGGTTACATCACATCTGGTTTATATGGCGACGGATTTGATATATGAAATCGATCGTTAATTATCGATTCAGTGTAGGTGCGTCGCCATCTTGGATGTAAGTGCGCAGCCATGTTCCCTCGCGCGGCTTCCGGCGAGCGCGAGCTGCTGAATGCTAATGTTCGCTCTGCGCGCGCGCAAACGCTCCTTAATCAGTCCGCTTAGTGAAATTTTGTCACACCTACTACCACTAAATGGCGACATAGTCAGTCTATCAATACAAATTACGTAATAACTACTTACATTGCCTTATTCTATATTATAATTGTTATTGTTATTTTTACGGGCTCTGGTTTTGTAGCAAAGGTACGCTTATTAGTTAAGATACTCTGGCACTGTTATTATTTACTTCTTTTATTGGTGTTGTAGATTTTTTTTATTAAATATATTTACAAATACATTTTGATGTACAAAAAAAACCATATTTAATTTTCTTGCTACCAAGATTTCATTAATAAAATGTCTTATTCAGAATTCTAAAAAGTTAAGTATAGGTGGGTATGTCAATTTTATGGTAAGTCTTGCCATATTTAGCAAACATATTAACAATATATCGACAAAGACATGAGTTTATTCTCGTCACGAGTGAGGTACTAGATAGACAGCCCGGCTTCTTGGCTCATATAAACCCATAAATTTAGTTTCGAAACGCGATAATACTCATTCACTGACAATGCTATTGTTTTGCGAAATATACAAGCTGATATAAATCGTACGGCTGGCTATACTATATTATATCTACACATCATATAAACGTTTAAAAAATATATGCCCTCCTTGATTTTTCGGAGCTCCCCCATATATAAACCACGAAAATTGTGTTTATTGAGAACTATACACTAAATCTGTTTAGGTTAGTATGGCTATCATTTAAGGAAATGAGCGTAGGTCTAATAGTTGCAAGAAGTTTATTATATTAATTAATTTGACATGATTCTTGACATAATATTACATTAAATATGACACTGTAAATGGGCTCTAGAAGTATCCAAAAGATAGTCAAATAAGTACATACCTACATATAGGCATTTCTGCTTATATGTATTTATTTATCCAAAAATACATACATACGTGTAAGCAGAAATACTGACAATCAATAGTTTAGCAGATTCATTGTGTGGGAAAGTCTACGATTATGTCAGTCATGCCAGCATTCCTTGAATACCGATATCTTCGACTTGTTATGATGAGTTAATTTATCGTAGTTCTAATTGTTTATTGTTCATGATAATTTTATATATTACTTAGGTATTATATAATCATATACTAACTAAATGTAGTTATGTATTTTGTTATTTAAATTAAAAATCAAAATATTGATTAAATTTTTATAGGTTATGACTCCGCCCACGTTCAGATGACCAAAAACCAAATTCTTAGGTTTTACATATTAGTATACTCTTATAATGTAGTTTTTGTATTTTTTCTCAGAAATGAGATATTTTTCTACGGCAAAAAGTATCCTATATGTTGACTCAGATAACTAGCTATCACCATACCAAATATCTTCAAAATCCCTCCAGTAGTTTTTCTGTGATGCGGTAACGGACAGACAGACAGACAAAATTTTTAAAAACAATAAATTCGGCCTCTGTATCGATAATAATGTTTATTTCAATAAGATTTTCCAATAAAATATTTATTGTACAGATTCGGCTTAGTTACAATTTTATTATATGTACCTATAGATTATTCAGAGACAACGTTATCTACCTACTAACAAGTTATATATATATATCTATAATTTTCCTTTTGTTTTTGCCCAATGCATAATAAAACTCATCCAAATACGTTACAAGTATGACGAAGTCTAAATCTAAAATATAGTAAAAAAAATAACTGACAGAAAAATATTTTTGACAATTGCTGTTGAAGGTTTCTTTTTCATGTAGGTACCTTACGGAATAAGTAAAGAGACACATCACTCATATTTCTCAGAATTAGAGAGGGTGATTGACATTGTGATAATTATTAATTACGCGAATAGTAGATATGAAAATTGAAAGCAATCAAATTTGCAATTATTGCGATACGTTAGTTGGATATGGTCCGCATGTTAGAGGAAGGAAAAAGAAAGAATTGACTGATTTTTTGGGACTTCCAATAGTGGCAGTTACGATAACAGTAACATAGGCTTTTTTAATATGATGATAACACACGGATGAAGCCGTGCGCGAGCACTAGTACTGAGTGTAATGCAACTTTCCAACAAAACATATGGTACGAGTATGTAATTAAAAACTCAATGCTGAAGGCGAATCGAATTGGGACAAAGCAATGTGCGGGCGTATTTTTTGCAACTTACCCCTTCGTTTAACGTTCGTACGTATTGAAATCGTCCCAATCGCCCCTACCCCGCATATGGCTCCAAAGGAAATGACATGTGGTTCCCGAAATCTACCTGCAATGAGACTATATGGATAAGACTGTACACTAAACAGGTCTTTGATTTTTAACAGACTTTTAAAAGCTTTATATCGTTATTAACTTATCGCTTTCTAATTGGTTATACAGTGATGGCTCTATGAAACTTGCAGATCTGACGTAATATACTTGTGTGGCAAATAAGATTATTTTTCAATATAGAAACTCGAACCCGTGACCTCCTGAGCTGTTAATTACCGAAAATTCTCAAAACGCTAGTAATAAAATATACCATTTAAAAATATAATTCAATAACCAAACAATGTTATAGGTACTGTAGGAAGCTCCACATAGGTCCAGCGTAGTTTGGAACACACCTGCCGACACATTCCGTCCTTCGCATGGCTTCGGTCGCACACCGCACCAAACCTAAAATTTTTATATACCAACTGCATCCTATATGCCGAATTTATTTATTTTTTAAATAAAATATATTTGATTTTAAAGTCGTCAAACTAAGACAACTCTAAATATACACATAGGTAAATAGTTTATAAATAGTTAAGTAATCTTATACGTAAAGGGGCAAATAATATAAAAACCCCTTAGTTGCATCCCTATAGCCGTATGTATATCTTTTACAATACAGTACCTACAATTTTTGATTGAGATTAAGAATTGCTTACAATAAGTTAAATCCTTTTTGTCACTTATTATCTTCGCGTCATAAAGTTACTAATTAGAATAGAACTTTTAATTAAAAACAACTAATAGCTAATCATGCTCCTTACCTTCAGTCTAACAATTAAATGATTAATGGCTTATGATATAACCAAGATATTTGTGTGGGAAAAATGTAACAATTTACAGCTATTAACGATCTATATGTACATATATACATATTTCGTAAATTGGTATAAGTGTACGTATGTGGAATATTTTAGGGAAAAAACATATTATTATAGCTTTAAATTTGTATACATCTCTTTTCTTCTTTTTCATATTATAATTTATACTTATCTATACTAATATTATAAAGAGGCAGAGTTTGTTTGTTTGTCTTGTTCGTTTGTCTCTTTGTTTGTCCGTTCATTCGTTTGTTTGCTGAACGCGCTAATCTCAGGAACTACTAATTCGATTTGACAATTTCTTTTTACATTAGAAAGCCCTTTTATTGAGGAAGTATTGGCTAAATATAAGTAATATATAGTCTACTATTCCATACTAACCATTAAAGCGTATGAGTCGTTAGTAAATTATAATATCAAAAGCTTATATTAAAGTATACCTGTATAAATAGAAACCAAAATTTACAGGGTATAGAGTTAGGTCTACAAACCAGTGTTGCAGTCAATAACAATCAAAACAATACCAATGTCAGCCTTATGAATACAGCAGTAAAATAAGAAACATTAAAATAATCTTACAACTAAATCTGCCGGATAATGTTAAACAAGTTTTGATTTTGTACGGCGAGTAATTCTTACTTTATATGGACTTCAATTAAATTTAATTGCTTGTTTGTATGAATGACTTTTACACGATAATTATTTTAGATATCGCGATATATATATATACGATATTCATAACCAGTACTGCCGATATAATATGCACGCGCCATTTTTTATTTGGGCTGAACATTTCGTAGACCGTTTATTGACTTGACGTCAATTATTTCAAAGTTGATGTTTTGGTAATTAAAGCAGTGATTGGCATTTCTCATACTTTAGCATCTATAATAAAAAAATGTAGAGATGTAGCTAACTTTCTAGAACTTTGCTACATTTACACTTTATTACACCTAACAACATTTCAGTATCTGGGCGACAGAGCTTCGCTCAATTTTTTTGTTTAGACGTGTTTTTTTAGAAAAGATAAATTTAAAAAGCTAAACCAGCTATCTAAAAACCAAATTTAATCCAAATCGTTAGAGCTTTTTCCAACATACACTAAATAAATTTTAATTTTAAGTCCTTTAGGTTCAGCGATCTGGTCTGGGCGATGATCAGATAGGATAAGCATAGGTATATAACTCCATAATATATATATTATATATCCTACTAATATTATAAATGTGAAAGTTTATATGAATGTTTGGATGTTTGTTACTCAACCACGCCAGAACGGATGGACGGATCTGGATGAAATTTGGCACAGAGATAGATTATAGTCTGGAATAGCACATAGGTTACTTTTTATCCCGAAAAAATGTACGGTTCGTGGGATAGATTTGATTTTGTTTTTGGCTTTCTAGTAGTTAATATTTTACTTCTATGAAAGTAAGAAATATGTATGAATGTTTTAATATTATCGTCAGTCACTAACAAAAATCATATTAAATATGTATGTACATTTGTAAAAAATGCTTACACTAACACAACGTTCAGAATAGATTGATAAAAGTTCTACTTAAAGTCTTCCAAAAAATACATACGACCTGCGCGCTTACACAACTTCTACAATTTTCATCTAACATTTCCCATCTAAATATTGTACAAGTAACATGCATGGTTTATACACGGTAAAGAGTTCTCACAACTGAAGATATTATGTCGATCTCCCAATTTCCGTCCGGTGCAGACATCCCGCTGTTAAAACACTTCAAGTACTACATGTCACTTTATCTAAAAAACCTCTCAAACAGCAAAGTGTATGAGTAGGAAGGTGAGAAAATTCTTCTTATATTTGTTTAATATTAGTCTTCTTTAATATTTAAACTTATACAATATATACATATACATATTTATACAATATAATATAATTATATAAGTACTTCATACATGATAAAACTAGTTATC